TGGAATGATAGCACAGTGGGTAAGGCATTTGCCTTGCACATGTCTGACCCAGGTTCGATTCCCAGCAACCCATATGAGACCATATGGTCCCCTGAGCACCGACAAGAGTAATTCCTGAGTGAAGAGCCAGGAGTAGTAATCCCTGTGCATCGCCAGGTGTGACCCAGAAAGCAGAAAAAAAAAGATGGTGTTATCAAAAAGACATTCGATAAATAAAAATTGCCTTGCTACTTCCTTTTTCTTTTCTTTTTTTTTCTTTTTGGGTCACACCCAGTGATGCACAGGGGTTACTCCTGGCTCTGCACTTAGGAATTACTCCTGGCGGTGCTCAGGGGACCATATGGGATGCTGGGAATCGAACCCAGGTCGGCCATGTTCAAGGCAAACACCCTACATGCTATTCTATAGCTCCAGCCCTCACTACTTTCTTCTTGTTTAGTTTCACTGCCAAGTTCTTCATGTAACACTACCCTATGTAAAACGAATTTTTCAAGGCACAGATCCTAATTGGGTTTGAATTATTAAGCTTACAGGTTTTCTGCAGGAAAAGGTGAAAATGAACTGCTCCCACCCCCAGAAATCCTGATTTCTCTACAAAGCTTGTAATTTCTCTCAGGAATTTCCTCCCTGCTCTGCCAATGACATATGGTAGTAGAATTTATTCTGCAAAAGAATCTCAAGTTAATTTATCACTTAGCCTACCTCTTTCCAAACTCACCATCATGCATAGTATATGTATACAATGCATTTGGACAGTAATGGGCAGACAGTTAGAAGGTACAAAGCGATGTACGTGTACAAGTTCAGACAACACATACAAGAAGTTAAGAATTCTTTGCAAGTAGCTATCTAAACATAGAAACCCAACCAGAGGCTCCCATGACAAAATTGAGGTGCTTTTCTCTCTGTGGGCCAAGCCCTACATTTTACAACCCTCCTTTCTAACCAAACCTGAAGAAGTGAGGGATATACTTTTCCCTGACTAAGCCTGCCTAAAACATGGAAGCATTTCTCATGCTCTTCAGATTCAACTATTTAACATCTCAAACATAGTTACCCAATCTTTACCTACCACTGGATGAAATGGGATTCTTCTCTCTCTCTCTCTCTCTCTCTCTCTCTCTCTCTCTCTCTCTCTCTCTCTGTGTGTGTGAGGGGTGGACACAAAATAAAATAACTGTTCACTAGGGAACTCAGCTGAAAGGTATCAACAAAACTCCAAAGGCTATACAATTGAGATAGGGGGTGGGAGTTGAGAGGGAGGGATAGTGTGGTCCTCAGTAGAGGGATGTGGGGAGGGTGTGGAATTATGTGCATGAAAAACCTTTGTTAACAGTCTTAAAAATCATGGAATCTCAATCGAATTTTTAAAAAATGGGGGAAAGTAGAATCAGATGAGTGATAGCTCCAGTCTTCAGCCATCAAAGTCATCTTGTGCCTGGAAAGCTCTGAGTGCTCTCTTGTATGTTGCTTTACAGGATATAATTTCTGAAATCTCTCCCTGCCCACCTCACCTGTCTTCTCAAATCCATAGGGTAAGGAATATTAAACTCACTGCAAAAGGGGAGTGGGTGGCCTGCCTGGAATTGCCATGTACTCTAATTGGTGACATGCAGTCACTTGAGTGTGATGGATTAATTCTCTTGGAGTTGACTCCCTTTAAAGTTTACAGTTCTGGCTGGTTAAGGAGACCTTGTCAGAAACTGGACACTCTTGTTCAAAATGTTGGGTGTGGTGTGTGTGTGTGTGTGTGTGTGTGTGTTTATGGGTATGGGGGTGTGTGTTTGTGAGTCACTGCACTCAATAAGAAGTTAAATGTTAAGTGGAGGAAACACAAGATTTCAGTCCCTAGTAAGTAACCCCCAATAAAGGGTGAAGAAGGATAAGGCACCCAGAGGTACTGAATCGTGCAAGCCAAACTCTCCGGCCAAGCTCTGTAAATCGGAGACATCTAGAGCCTTATGAGGCTTCTCTTGTCTCCTCTTAGCTTCTCATTAAACTCTCTCTTTGAAGAATTCCCAAGAAGCTGAACTTGGTCTGAGTAGACATAGGAAGTGCGCCCCTAGGGGCTCGGGTGGGGGCTGCACTTCGGGGCCCTTTCAAAACCCCGACCCACCGCACCTCGTCCCCCCACCCTCCACCCCTCCTGCAGCGGCCTCAGTCACGCACTCAACCCCGATCCTTGGCCTCTTCCTAGAAAAGCGCATGCGGTAGCCCGCGTCGTCGGCCTCGTGTGGGTGGAAAGTCACTCTCAGCAGCGCGCACAGGGGAGGAAGAGGGAAAGGAACCAAGTCCGGACGTTCTGTCATCGAAAGCGCGCGCTCTTTGGACTGAACGCCCCCTGCCAGCCCCAATTCAGTTAACACGCAGTGACACGACGAAGGGAGCCGAGGTGCTTCCAAGCACCCTCCCCAGCCTCTAACTGCATCCTAAACTGCTGTCCGCCTTCCCAGACCACTCCTGAGGCTGCGGGGCTCTGACGCTCCCACCCCAAATCCCGGCTTTGGGCAGACGGGTGTGCGAGAACCATACATCGCCCCGCGCCCCCGCCCGCGTTCTTTCTCTCAGCCCCGCACACCCCCATACCCGGCAGCTCCAGCACAAACCTCGCGACGCGGTTCGTGGATCCGGTGGGGTGCGGGAGCGGCTGGAAGGCGGCGAGACCCCAAGATCTCGCGGCGGGGGGGGGGGGGGGCGGTGGCGAGGGGCGGTGCGTGGTAGTTACCACTGATCCTCAGAGCCTTAGGAGGGATACGGGCTGGGATGCCGGCCGTAATCTGCGAGCGGAAAATACTTTTGGGTCTCAGGACCTCATCCCGAGGATGGGGCGGGATTCGGGGCAGCTCTCCCCCTGCTTCCCCGACTTCTCCGCCCACAGCCCCAACTCCCCAGCGCCCGCCCACTCCCCAGCCCCGCCAGACCGGTAGGGCTTAACCAGCCCTTCGCGCCGTCCACGTGGCCGCACTGGCCGAACCCTGGACACGGGCGAGGCGTCCCCCCCGGGCTCCCCGCGCGCCCCCTCACCTGCAGCGCCCGGTCTCGGCCGAGCACCTCGGCGGGTCCGGGGCCCCGTGGCTTCTCCCCCGCCCCACGCCGCGCCCCGCCCTCCCGCCCCTCCCCGCCCTAGAACTGGGGCGCTTTGGCCCCGCCGCTCCAGTCCGCGCAGCCCCGCCCGCGCTGGTGCAGAGCCGGAGCGGGAGCCCGACGGGACCGGCGTCGTGGGCCGAGCAGCCAGGCGGCCGGGAGGCAGCCCGGAGTCCGGCTCTGGGACGCGGCGGCCGCAGGTCAGAGTGCGCGGGTCGGGGCGCGGGGGCCGGGCAGTCGCGGACCTAGCCCCGGCCCCGCCACGCTTGTCGAGGAAGGGGAACTTTCCAGCTTTGGCTCCTCCTGTGAAAAAAAAGGGAGGTGGGAGCGGTAAAGGAGGTTATCTATCCTCCACTCCAGCAAAATTTGGAAGTCTGGAACTCTTGGGAATGTTTGGGTGACGTATTTTGTTTGGGATTCTCTCTGGAGCAATTTCCTGGCAACAGCGCGTCATTCCCGGGAGGAAACTTTTTTTAAGTTTTTAGCGTCTAAGCTTTTCCAAAACCCTTTGGGAACTAAGTGGGGCTCACCACTCCCGAAAAATGGCCACGTGCGGCAAGAACCAGGCAGGCTAGTGTTTCGTGTTGGCTACCGTGGTTCTGTCACCGCCTGGGGGGGATCACTGCCTTGACTTGGGTTATCTGACTTGGATATGCTTCCCGTTAAAGATTGGTTGCTGTGTGAAATGGGGCTCCCCACCAGCAAGCCGCTGCTCCCTGGCACCCCCACACACACACACACCCATAACGTTCAGAGTAGTTCACTGCCTGCCAGTCTGGACAGAGTTAGTAGTGGCACAAGGGTGTCAGGAGCTCAGGCTCCAGAAGACAGCGGTAGAGAGAAGCAGAATGAGGACAGATCAAGGAAGGATCTCTGGGACCGCTTAAGTGTGACACCCTTACAAGGCCAACTGTCCTGAGCTCTGCCCTCACACCTTAGCAAAGCGGAACAGATGGGGCGAAATGCTGAGCTTGTGAATTAGGAAGGGCGCAGGTCTTTTCATTTAATAGATGGTGAGTGAGGATGAGCTCACTCGGTGTGCTCCCTCCTCAGGTGACTAGACAGCCTGTCCAGGAGGCCCAAGGGCTTGGCTGGAGGTGAGGCTTTCCCTGCCCCCCACCAAATCAATCGTTCTTCGGGAGCGTCTACCCTAGCCTATAAGGTGAGTCTACAAGGTGATTTCAGATGGGAGATCTTCACTGGCCTGCAGCGCTCCCTGTGCCCCTCCAGAGTCTTAGCCCAAGTTCTCTGCTGCCTCAGTTTCTTACTGAGTGACTTGCTGGTTGGGGGAGATGTGACAAGAAGCCAGCAGCACACACAGAGAGGAGTCCAATGGAGCCCTCCCAGAGGAGCTAAGCCTACCCTCTCTTCTTAGCAACAATGTGTTACTTGCTTTGAGTTCATCCTCATGTTCACATTTGGTTCCAGCATCCATGCTGAGAGCTGAACAGTTCAGGCATGTTTACTTCCATAGCCAGAAGAGGAAACCAGGTCTAGACCGGAGAAGTGACACAGTGGACTGGAAGCAGTGTGATATCCTGGAAACAACTCGGCATCCTGGCCACCAAACAAGCTTCACTGGGGAACAACACGCACTGCCGGAAGCTGGTTTCCATATAGTCTTAGAAGGTAAAGCCCAGGAAAGCACTGATTTTTATTTGCTTTGTTTTATAATTTATTCTTTGCGGTTGATAGAGTGGGAACTCATGGAGTGTTTGTTGAATGAATGAAAGATTCTTGGGAGATAGGACATCACCTACTCTTTGATACCCACTGTGATTGTGGTCTAGCTCCTTGTCATGATTCTCAGGGGCCTATAGAGACCACTTGAGTTTCCTGATGCAGAAGATCATTCTGACCATCCTTGTTCTTTTTTCTAGATAATCTTCTTTAGGACTCCACTAATCATTTTCATCATGGGCTTCTTTCTGGCTCTGGCATGGATACTCCTGGTGGGGCCATGGATGCCCATGGGTGAGTGCAGATTGGAGATGACTTTGAGTAGAGCAACCCCATGGTTCTTCCAGAAGCAGAAGCTGTGTCCTGTTCATCTCTAAAATCCTAATTTCCTAGCTAAGTTCCGTGCTGGGAGGTGCTCACTTCAAGCTTCTTGACTAGATGAATGGGTAATGGATTGGAAATTTTACCCCCAGTCAGAGATATGAATGACTGTCTCATCACAGCCATTCCTATTTCATCCCTCTTGTAGCTAGGAATGCTTTATCTATCCCTCCTCTCCATAAAGTACCTTTGACACCCCCATAGGAAAAGACTGATTAGATACACAAAAAAATAAGAATCTCAGAGAAAAATTGGACCAAAAGCTGAGGGAAAGTTATCAGTGTTTTCAAATATTGAACACATACACACACACACACACACACACACACACACACACACACCTGGACACCACCCCCCCCCCACACACACATATGATCCAAAAATTTCATTTTACGACCTTCAGATTCAGTCAGGTTCTTACTAGAATGAGGCCTTTTTTTTTTTTTTTTTTTTTTTTTTTGCAGCCTATGAAGGTCTCTAAGGAGGAAGTGGGCTTAAGGTTCAGTGAGCTAGGCAGAAAAGAGCAAGGCCCTGCTGCTCAATGGTGGGGAACAGATTAGGAAGGAGAGAAGCCTGTGGAATGAACTGTGCTTGCTGGAGGCAGTGGGATGGCGAGGCTGCCTCTATAGCTTCTCCTTTGCCACAGGCTTCCCATGTACATGGCTGCATGCCTGCTCCTTGCCTTGGCCTTGGGTTTTCCTTTTCTCCAGAGCTCTTGCCTCTTAGTTCTAGCAGGCATCCTCCCCGCACTCCATGGTATACTAGGGAGGTAGCTGTCTTAGTTTCTGCCTGAAGCCCTGTATCCTAGTTTGAGAGGGAGGGTGGGGGGGTGGGAGGAGTTTTTTCAGAGGTGTTGAGGGGAGTAGCTTTAAAATCCTGAACTTGGTTTGAGGGGAAACAGTCTTACAAGTGGGCTTCCCACCTGATGAGAGTTCCTGTCCTTTATTCTGTTCTCAGAGGTGGCCTGTTCCCAGAGGAGCCTCAGTCCCATGCCCTCCTAGGGTAGAGAAAGGTGTCAGCTGATAGACTGCTGGACTGACAGGAGGGCCTATCCTTTTCTGTTTTTCCCAGCTGCCCTTCCCTCTGTCCTCACACAGGTGCTCAGAACCCCATTTCCTGGGAGGTGCAGCGCTTTGATGGGTGGTACAACAACCACAAGGAGCACAAATGGGGCAGCAAAGGTAAATGAGAGCCAAGGGGACACAGCCCCAAGGTCAGGGTGGTACCTACCACCAAAGGTCAAAGGTTGGCAGATGCCAGTCAAAACCAATCTATCTCTGAGGTTTCTGTATGAGTCATCAGGCCGGAACCCCAGCAGGGAGATGACAGAGCCTGCCTGAATATTCTTTTCCCTGCCCCTCTCTTCTCACCCCAGGTTCAAGGCTACAGCGGCTGGTCCCGGCCAGTTATGCTGATGGTGTGTACCAGGCCATGGGAGAACCCCATCTGCCCAACCCCCGAAATCTTAGCAACACCGCCATGAGGGGCACTTCAGGGCAGGCCTCCCTGCGGAACCGCACAGTGATGGGGGTCTTCTTTGGTGAGAACCTCAGTCTGGGGGCTGGAGGTCACCTCTGTGTCCTGAGGGGAGAACAGGGAGTATGGAGCAAAGTGATGGGGAGATATGGGAAGGTGACGGCTGCGGTAGGGCATGGGAGCAGAGGGAAGGAGCCTGGTTTGAGGACACATAAGTCTACCCCATGGAGAAAGAGTGGGGACATGGGGGAAGAGGACAGGGGTGTCTTCCCCTTGTCCAGCTGGGCTTGGCGGGGGCATGGACTCTTGTTGGCACTCTCTGCTCACTCTCAGCCCCTGTGGTTCTTAGGACAGGCTCCTCGGTGGGGTCCTAATTCTAACTAGAGGGTATGGGGGAGAGGACATGGTCTGAATAGGAGGTGTAGGGCAGCATGATCCCAGTATCTGTTGGTTTCCAGCATTAATGCCCAGTTCCTGCTGGCTGTTCAGAACCCACCACCCCCTTAGCTTCCAACATTCTTAGATGCCCAACAATTCGCTAGGGCTGACAGACCCTCTGGGCAGGCTGCTCCCAGCTGCAAGTTGAAACCAGAGCTGCCAGCCCACTTTTCTAGGCACACTCACAGGGCGCCTCCCAGTTACCAAGGAGAAGGCCAAACTGGTGAGGAAAACAGTTTGGACAAGGGTATAAGAAAGGGTTGAGAAGGGGTGGGGAGATCAAAGCTTGGACTTGCCCCCTATAATGGCTTAGGAACCTTGGGTGACAGCACCTGGTACCTGGCTCAGAGATGACCCTGAGGAAAACAGTTTGGACAAGGGTGTAAGAAAGGGTTGAGAAGGGGTGGGGAGATCAAAGCTTGCACTTGCTTCCTATAATGGCTTAGGAACCTTGGTTGATAGCACCTGGTACCTGGCTCAGAGATGACCCTGGCCTCCACCCCCCCAACCCCTCCCCAGGCTACCACGTGCTGTCCGACCTGGTGAGCGTGGACAGACCCGGCTGCCCCGCCGAGTTCCTCAACATCCACATCCCGCCCGGAGACCCTGTGTTCGACCCCCACAGCCGCGGGGACGTGGTCCTGCCTTTCCAGAGGAGCCGCTGGGACCCCCAGACCGGCCAGAGCCCCAGCAACCCCCGAGACCTGGTGAGACGAGGCGGCCGCAGGACTCACTGCAGGGCGGGCGCGGGGGAGCCCCGGCTGGGGTCGGGGTGTGAGGGAGGCTCCCACGCCATCTCAGCGCCCCTGCGCCTGCCCGCAGACCAACCAGGTGACCGGCTGGCTGGACGGCAGCGCCATCTATGGCTCTTCGCACTCCTGGAGCGACGCGCTGCGGAGCTTCTCCGGGGGGCAGCTGGCGTCGGGGCCGGACCCAGACTTCCCGCGGGACGCGCAGAACCCGCTGCTCATGTGGGTCGCGCCGGACCCGGCCACGGGAGATCACGGGCCCCGGGGGCTGTACGGTGAGGCGGGGCCGGGCGAACCCCGGGCTGGGCTGGGTCTCAAGAAGGGGTGGCGGGGGAGGGGGCGGAACCCTAGAACAGTGGGGAGGGCGTTTGCCTTGCACGCGGCCGACCTGGGTTCAATCCCCGCATCCCACATGGTCCCCACAGCACCGCCAGGAGTAATCCTGAGTATAGAGCCAGGAGTGACCCCTGAGCATCGCTGGGTGTGGTCCAAAAAGAAAAAAAAAGAAGCAGAAGAGGTGGCGGGGAGGGGGTGCCCGGGACGCCCGGCCGCGGCTCACGTGCCCGCGCCCCCCTTGGTGCAGCCTTCGGGGCGGAGCGCGGGAACCGCGAGCCCTTCCTGCAGGCGCTGGGCCTGCTGTGGTTCCGCTTCCACAACCTGTGCGCGCAGAGGCTGGCGGCCGCGCACCCGCGCTGGGACGACGAGCAGCTGTTCCAGCACGCGCGCAAGCGGGTCATTGCCACCTACCAGGTGAGTCGCAGCCCAGCGCCGCCCTGGAGAGCCCCGAGGCCCCGCGCAGGCCCCTCCTGGACTGCCCCGCCGCCAAAACGCCCCATTCCAGCCTCCCCCCGACCCAAACCCCCAACGACTGAAGGCATCGCCCCTGGGAGTCGTGGAGGGGCAAAGGGCTCCTCACCCGGAGACTCTGGTCTGTGACCCCCTCCTGGAGGGTGAGGTGGGACAACGCCCCATCCGGCTCTGGAGGGGTCTCTCCCCAGTCAGCCCTGCCTGTGCCTCATCTTCCCAGGAGTCTCCCGGGCTCGGGTCCCTGTGGGTCCCTCCGCTCCAGCTCTCAGCCCCTCTCCCTCCCTTCTTCCTCAGAACATCGCCATGTATGAGTGGCTGCCCAGCTTCCTTGGGAAGACGCCCCCCGCCTATGCAGGTGAGGGTCTGGGGCCTAAGAAGGCTTGAGAGAGGCGCTGGGAGGACTGGAAATCTCTGGGGCACTTTTCTTGGAGGGCGCTAGCCTGGTGTGTTGGGTAGTTCAGGAGTGACATGTTAAAGTTCTCTGTCTTCCCTTCCCCCCAGGGTACCGCCCTTTCCTGGACCCCAGCATCTCTCCAGAGTTCCTGGTGGCCTCTGAACAGTTTCTCTCCACCATGGTGCCCCCTGGCGTCTACATGAGGTGAGGGAGGAGCGCAAGTTTTGTATCAAATGAAAAAAATCTGCCTTCAGGAGCTTTCAGAACTAGATTATTAATTAGAAACTGTTCGTGACTCTTCAAGGGAACTGACTATGGAAGACAAGACCATTGTTTAAAGACCATTTTCTTAAAAGATAACCCATTGTGATTTTTTAGTGTGCCATTGCAATGAGGGAGAAGGGGTGCACACGGCTCTATGCTCAGGGGCAACTCCTGGAGATACTGGGAGATCTCATGCGGTGCCATGATGCCAGCCGGAGTGGAAATGGCAAGTGCCTTCAATCTTGCATCCTCTCTGGGCCCCCATTGTGATTTTCAAGTACTTAGTACTTTTTTTTCCTTTTTGGGTCACACCCAGCGATGCTCAGGGGTTACTCCTGGCTCTGCACTCAGGAGGATTTATTCCTAGTGGTGCTTGGGGGACCATATGGGATGCTGGGAATCGAACCTGGGGTCGGCCACATGCCCTACCCGCTTACTATCGATCCAGCCCTCAAGTACTTTTAAATTCGTATCCTGCAGCTAGTGCAGCTGTTAATCCCTCAGATAAAGATGGGTTAACTGAGACTCTGAGTCACAGCCTTACTCTTAACTTCAAGTTTTGACATTTCGGTGGGGACAGTTTTAATTATAAGCAAAAGACCTTGGTGACACAAGACTTTGGAGGGAAAGTTATATTTGAGAGCTGAAAAAATAATAACTCCAGCATAGTGAAAAAGGAACTTTAAAAGTATACATACTTAAGGCTGGAGAGACATTACAAGGGTTAAGGATCATACCTTACATTTAACAGATCCCCAAAACCTTAGAAGATCCTGAACACTACTGGGTTTATGCCAATAATCCTCAGAACTGCATCCTTGGGCCTTTGTATTGAACTCCCAGCTCAATTAACAAATATCTCTGAGATGGGACCCAAGGCTTCCAGAGTACCACCTGGGAGACCCTCCAAATAAATTTACATATTTATTATTTTTCATTGTATATATATATATTTGATCAAATATATATATATAAGACAAAGTATTTCCACTTAATTTTTACAATTGCTCTCTATGATAATAAATCTAATCATTTTAAAGTAATTGTATTATTTTGTTTATGATATATATATACACACACATATATGTGGAGAGAGAGAAGGTTTAGATGTTCTGATTTGGGGAGAGGGAGCTTACACAAATCAAACTGATGGATCAGAGAGATAGCACAGCAATTAAGGCATTGCTTTGCATAGGGCTGACCCAGGTTTGATCCTCAGCACCACATATGTGCTCCAAGCATCTCCAGGAGTGATCCCTGAGTATAGAAGCAAGAGAAAGCCCTGAGCACTGCCAGGTCTTGCCCAAACAAATATACAAACATAAAAAGCAAAGTTAAAATTATTTTGCACCTACCATTCACACAGCCCACTTCAGGGAAGCAGTGACTTAACACAGAGCTAATGCCTGACTCTGTGACCCAAGTCACCACTCTCTGCTCCTTGCCTTTCAGAAATGCCAGCTGCCACTTCCAGTGGGTTAACAGGAATTCAACTGTCTCCAGAGCTCTCCGGGTCTGCAACAGCTACTGGAGACGAGAGGTCAGGCTAGGGGCACATTAGTGGGTGTGTGCTCTTGGGGACAGGCTGTGTATCTGTATCTGGGGATGTGTGTGGTGCCTCATTGGAATGGAGGCAGCCAGCTGGGCTGTGCTGGGGGTGGAAGAGGCAGCCTGGGGGCCTCAGCCATTCCCACACTAGTGTGTGAAATGTGTTGGCAGTTGTTCAAGATCAGATGCCAGCCTTCTATCCCACTACATGAGATATGGGCAAGACTGCATGGCTTGTACAGGTTTGGTTCTACATTCATTGCTTGCTCCTCTCCCAGGATTTCTTTTCTCCCTTGACAGTTCTGCAGGGGCGATTAGAGGCCACCCTAAAAGCCTTTATCCCTCTGGGAGAGCCTTGCAAGCTACTGAGAGTATCCCGCCCGCACAGCAGAGCCTGGCAAGCTATCCGTGGCGTATTCGATATGCCAAAGCCAGTAAATACAATGGGTCTCATTCCCCTGACCCTGAAAGAGCCACCAATATGGAAGCGTTAGGAAGGATGAGGAAGGAGAGGCTTATAAAACTCAAGGCCGAACTAGGCTGCCAAAACGAAGAAAGACAAAAATAACTGTCTGTACTTTCAATGCATGTATGCTGGCATCGGATGCATCCATCAAGGACCTGATGGTACAAGCGCAAAAGATCAAGTACGACATCATTGGTCTGACAGAGACAAGAAGGCATCAATCACATCACGCTGTTTTAGACACTGGAGAAGAACTGTTCCTCAGAACGTGTGACAAAAGAGGCATCGGAGGTGTCGGTGTCCTTGTCAATACAAACTTGACCATGAGCATTGATTCATTCGAATGCCTAACAACCCGAATCGGACGATTACACTTGAATAGATGTGGCTCACTGCCTGTTGTTTCTATCTTCATTGTCTACGCACAAACATCCAATTATGATGAAGGATAAATTGAGAAATTCTACATGGAGCTGGATAAGTTCTGTAAAGAAGACCACACCTTCTACAAGATCATTGTTGGTGATTTTAATGCCAAGATAGGACCGAGAAATCAGCCGAAAAACTCCACATCAGGACCCATGACCTAGAATGGAACGAACAGGGTGAGAGACTATCTGAGTATATCATGTCGACCAAGACCATCCATGGTAACTCACAGTTCCAGAAGGCCGAATCTAAAAGTTGGACATGGGAGTCTCCTGGTGGATGGTTCCACAATGAAATTTACCACATCACATCCAATCGATGGTTTTGCCTGACTGATGTTGCTGTTATCCCAAAATTCCAAATGGGATCGGACCACCATCTCCTTTGTGCAAAATTCTACTTCATGGAGTGGGAAGAAAGGGCTGCAAAGTTTAAGAAGAGAACTCCTAGAACGACAACCAACTGGGAGCTCTTTGGCACTATTGCGGCAACATGGGAAGATGCCGTCGTTGACAACATTGACCAGGAATACGATCGACTGGTTCAGCACCTCCATGATTGTTCGAGGAACGCCAAGAAAGATAACCACAAAAAAAGCCTATCTTCAAAAACTCTTGAGCTCATTTGCCAACATGGCTTGGCGCAAGCCTCAGGCAACCGCAAGCAAATGTCCGAGCTCGCAAAGCAGTGCAGAGAAGCAATAAAGGAAGACCTCAAAGAGAGAAGAGCAGCAGTGCCGGCAGATGTGGGAGAAGCCAAGAAAAGCATTCACAATGCCCGCCTGTCCTTCGCCAACTACAAGACCAAGATGACTGCCCTCTGACGTCCTGATGGATCCATCACATCTTTCAGAAGGGCAAAGGAGAAGATTATCCATGACTTCTACTCAGATCTCTTCGATAGCCACGTCCACCTGCCCACATTACAAATTCTGCAGGATGAATATGTCATTCCCAATGATCTCCCTTCCAAAATCTGACATGCCATTTTGTCGGCAAAGAAGCGAACAACTGGCTCAGACAAGGTCAGACCCGAACACCTGGAGAATCTGCCCTCGGTACTCATCAATACACTGGCTCGGCTCTTCACATGCTACCTGTCTGAATGCAAAGTTCCGTCCCACTGGAAAACCAGCAGGACTGTACTACTGTACAAGAAGGGAGACATCCTCGACATTGGCAACTATTGCCCGATCTGCCTATTGTCTGTCATCTACAAGCTGTTCACTCTAGTCATCCTGAATAGGATTGGCAGAACACTAGATGAAGGACAACCATGCGAGCAAGCCGGGTTTTGCAAAAGATTCAGCAGGATCGACCATATCCACATGATAACCAAGCTCATTGAGGTTTCTTGGGAGTTCAAGATGCCGCTCTGTCTAACATTCATTGATTTAAAGAAGGCCTTTGATCCTGTTGAGATGGAAGCGGTCATCGAAGCCCTAGCCAATCAGGGCATTCAAACTCAATACATCAGAATCCTCCGTGAGCTGTATTATGGATTCACTACCTGGATCTCACCATTCTACAAAGAAGTGATAATTCATGACAAGAGAGGGGTTTGGCAGGGTGATACCATTTCACTGAAACTCTTCAGTGCCACCCTCGAGAACATCATGCGATGACTGGAATGGGAAGGAATGGGAGTGAAGATAGACAGTTGGCTACTACACCACCTCCACTTTGCTGATGACATCATTCTAATAACACCAAACATTAGTCAAGTGGCACAAATGCTGGCTGACTTCAACTGTGAGTGTGGAAAGGTCGGACTCCAGCTGAGTCTCACGAAGACAGTGTTTATGAGAAAGAGTCTCGTTCCTGACGTTCCATTCACTATCAACGGAAAGACCATCTCTGAATGCAACAGTTTTGTGTACCTAGGTCGAGAAGTCAACATGATGAATGATCTGGCACCTGAGTTGCACAGGAGGAAGAGAGCAGCTTGTAACACCTTCAAGAGCCTTGAAGAAATAGCTAAGAGGACGAAGAACCTCCGGCTCTGGGCACATCTCTTCGATTCTACTGTTCTTCCTGCATTAACATATGCTGCAGAGACCTGGGCCCTTCGAAAACAGGATGAGAACGCTATTTGGGTCTCCCAAAGAGGAATGGAAAGAGCTATGCTTGGAGTATCACGCATCACTCAAATGAGAGAAAGAATCCTGAGTTCTGACCTCCGGCGACAGTCAAAAATCAGAGATGCTGTCTCATTTGCCAAGGCATCGAAAATCAGATGGGCTGGACATGTAATGAGATTTGGAGATGACCGCTGGACTAGAGCCGTTACTGACTGGATTCCATGGGATGTCAAAAGTCGCGTGGCTGCCCACCTACCAGATGGTCAGACTTCTTCCTCAAGACCCTGGTTTGAGGCTCTTCGTATTTCTAGAACGAACAGTCGCCATTGGGCTACACTAGCACGTGACAGGGACAAATGGAGACGTTACTGGTGCCCGCTTGAGCAAATCAATGACTAACGGGAAGTCAAGTGATCAAGTGATCAAGTGACAGTTCTGGGTCCCCTGTAGGACTTGTAGGGACTCAATGAGCTCAGCCTCTAAGGCACTTTCCATTTGGACACGAAGGGCAGCTTATGGATGTGAATGGGTATTGGGGAAGAGGAGCAGGGGAGCAGGATAATCTGATGATCCAAACCCAGCCACAGAAGCGAAGGAAACCATTGATTATTCATTTATATTTTTATTTTTAATTTTTTTGATCATTTAAAACAAAATCTGGGCTGGAGAGATAGCACAGCAGGTAGGGCGTTTGCCTTGCACGTGGCCGACCCGGGTTCAATTCCCAGCGTCCCATATTGTCCCCTGAGCACTGCCAGGAGCAACTCCTGAGTGCAGAACCAGGAGTAACCCCTGTGCATCGCCAGGTGTGACCCAAAAAGCAAAAAAAAAAAAAAAATCAGTTACTTGGTATGGAGTTGTTAGTAAGAAGAAAGAAAGGTAGAAAGAAAAGAGGGAGGCCATAGTCATGGGCCTGAGTTAAAAAGGGACCTCAATCCCCTAATCTCTTATTTTTTTTCCGCTTATTTTACTGTGGTATTTTATTAATTCCTAGCACCCTCTTTGTGAAAGAAAAGACAGTTGAGAGAGGTTCTATGATGTGCTGGTTTGTAACAGCAAGGACAAAACTCAAATTTTCTCAGGTCTTTGTCAACCATACTGTCAAGTCTCCTAAAATAGAAGAAATAAAATGCAAAGTCACTTGTGCTGGTAGAGCCCTGCATCCTGGCAGCATGAGCTGTGGAGGGAACCCCACTCACCCTGAGTGAGGAATCACCCTACAGAGGAGGATGGCCCACCAGTTTGGGAGCAAATAGCGGATTGGGTGGGTGCCAGAGATCTGGTCTCATTAGCCACACCACTGTCCTCTTTCCACCCTCAAAGCATCCCCAAAATGCCAAAGATGTGGTCGCACTGCTGCTGGGCATGGCCTCCCAGATCGCCGAGCGAGAGGACCATGTGGTGGTTGAGGATGTTCAAGGTGAGCCTAGAGGCTGCAGGGTGAGGCTGTTGGTCTTTAGAAATGCTCCAGAGTCAGGCAGGGGATGGGGGTTGCTGCCCCGGGTGGAGAGTCAGCTTTCATTGCCCAGAGAGCTCCCAGACTTGGCCCACAGCTCACTCTGGATAGCCCAGATCCCCAATCATCGGGCATGTGTTATAGGCACTATGATGACCCCCCAGTCTTTCATACTTTCTGCTGTCTCCTCAGATTTCTGGCCTGGACCTCTGAAGTTTTCCCGCACAGATCACATGGCGAGCTGCCTGCAACGGGGCCGGGATCTGGGCCTGCCTTCCTACAGCAAAGCCAGGGCAGCACTGGGCCTGCCTCCTGTTACCAGCTGGCAGGACATCAACCCTGCACTTTCCCGAATCAATGGCACTGTGAGGAGGGGTCAGAACCCAAGGGCAGGGCAGAGGGTCAGGGTATACTGGATATGACGTGGAAGGCAGACACGAGAGGTGCCGGAGACCAGTTCCTGGGAGAGGACAAGGCTCACCTAGGTGACCATTCCCAGTGACCACATCAGGGTGGAGATGACCAGACAAGCAGGATTCTGCTTTTCTCTGTTGCCATGCACATCCAGCAAATGTTTACTGGCCATCTGTTACGTGCCGGGAACTTTATAGGCTTTGTCTCATTTGTCTTCCCGGAACTCCAGGGGAGTTCTCCCAAAGTACTGAAGGTACTTGACTTGGGGCAAACTACTTTATGTGCACTTTGAACTTTTTTTCAGTTTTGTTTTTCACTTTGGGACTATACAAGCTGTGCTCAGAGGCTACTCCCTGGCTCTCTGCTCAGGAATCATTCCTGGAGTGACCCCCAGGGAAGAAACACAGTGCTAGGGATTGAACCCTTGCATTTTGTTGTTGTTGTTGTTGCTGTTGTTGTTGTTGTTTGGGTCACACCCGGCTATGCAAAGGGGTTGCTCCTGGCTCATGCACTCAGGAATTACTCCTGGTGGTGCTCAGGGGACCATACAGGATGCTGGGAATCATACCCGGGTTGGCCACATGCAAGGCAGATGCCCTACCCACTGTATTATCACTCCAGCTCCAACTTTTAATGTTTTTACTGTGGTTTTTACTACTGAGATTCAGGCTGTCACAGCCTGAGTGATCTCTTGGCAAATGGCTTGTTAACCACTTTGACTGCATAGGCCTCTGGGCACAACACTGTTTCTACAGTGTGTTCCTCTGTTTATTGTGTATTCCCCTTTCTTCCTCCTCCTCCTCCTTCACCTTTTCCTCCTCCTCTTCCTCCTCCTTCTTCTTGTCCTTCATCCTTGTCTTTGCCTTCCTCTTTTTCTTCGATGTGGGGATTATGCAGGCAAGGCATTGTAAATTTTATATCAATATGAAGTTAGCAATCACCTGCCAGACCAGAAGTAGTGAGTTTTTGGCTTCAGCTAGACCTTGAAGGAATGAAGCTGGTCAAGGGTTCTGCTGCCTTCGTAGAGGAAAGAACAGTGACAGTCAGGTAGAAGATGATGCTCCTATATTGTTAAAGACACAGAGATTTGATTTTTTTTTTGAAAAGCAATGTATACACAGAGATTTGATTTTTTTGTTTTTGTGTGTTTGGGGGCCACAACCTATTAGGGAAATCACCCAATAGGTTGAACACGTTCATTTTACATGAGGAAGGCACCACCTGGTTTCCTAAGCATGGAGCCAGGGATTGCCTTCAGCATCACTAGTGTGGACCACCCCCCCCACCAAGAAAAACATTTTTAAATTAAATTTAAAAATACAAATAAAAATACAGGGCAAGAGAGATAACCAACTTACATGCAGTTGATCCAGGTTCAATTCCCAGCATCTCATGTGGTCCCTCAAGTCCCACCAGAGTGATTTCTGAGCACAGAACAGGAATAAGTCCTGTTCTGGGTGTGACCCCCAAATAAAAACAAACAAACAAACAAAAATCTGTTTTCACACTTCATCCTACATTCAAAATCAGCACATGTTTTGCCCTTTCAGAGAACAAGAATATGTTGGAGAAAGGCAGACATCCGACTGCAACTTTATAAAACAGGCAGCTGAATTAGTGAGCAGTTTCCCCTAAATGAATGAACTCATGCAGAGCACTTGGAACAGTGTCTGGGGCATAAGAGAGTTTTTGAGAGAGTTTTTGGTCCTGTCCTGTGAAATTTCTCCTGGTACTCATCCTAAGGTGCCCCTGGGTCTTTGTACTCACTCTTATCCCTTCTCCGTTCCAGGTACTAGAGGCCACAGCTGCCTTATACAACCAGGACCTGTCTCGGCTGGAGCTGCTCCCTGGGGGTCTCCTGGAAAGCCACGGGGACCCTGGACCCCTCTTCAGTGCCATTGTGCTCGACCAGTTTGTGCGGCTGCGGGATGGTGACCGGTACTGGTTTGAGAACACCAAGAATGGGTAAGGCCTGCCCGGTCCCCTCATCACACCCCTCCCTGACCTGGTTCCCAGACCTGTATGATTCCCAGCACCCTCCTCTCTTCTGTTCTGGGTCTGTGGGCTTGGGGCCTGCCTACCTGTGTCTCCGCCCACAGCATCTCTCCCACCCTCAGGCTGTTTTCTGAGGAAGAGATCACAGAGATCAGAAACACTTCGTTCCGGGACATTCTGGTGGCCGTCACCAACGTGAGCCCAAGTGCCTTGCAACCCAACATCTTTTTCTGGAGAGCTGGTCAGTGGCCGGGGCGATTGTGGAGGGGGCTGGGCTCTGAACCTCAGCCCTCCTCCTCTGGGGCTGGCTTCAGTATGACTGGTGGCAGCCTCCAAGGGGCAGTGAGCCACGGTTCTGCCTTCAGGCTCTTTGGTTCTGGGCACCAAACTGGCCATATCCTGCTGTGTAGGTTCCCCTTCCCCATCTGCACAGCTCCAGGCAGTGCCCGAGTGAGGACAGGTCCAAGTTGAAGCAGGACTGCTTAAGGATGAGGGTTGATTCAGCGAGGCAATCCTAATCCATGTGCCTCTGTGAGTGTGTGTGTATGTGTGTGTGTGTGTGTGTGTGTGTGTGTGTGAGAGAGAGAGAGAGAGAGAGAGAGAGAGAGAGAGAGAGAGAGAAAGAGAGAGACAGAGACAGAGACAGACAGACAGACAGACAGACAGACAGACAGAGATGTCCAAGGCAAGAAGGCAAGAACTCCTGGTCCAATGAAAGGCATAAGCAGCTCCATTACCTCTGCCACCCAGGTCATTGCCCTCTTTCAGCCTCAGTGGCCTTGTGCTAAGTAAGGTCTGTGACCCACCTTCTCAGACCTCCAACTTTCTCTCCTCCCTAGGAGACCCCTGCCCGCAGCCCACACAGCTCAGCACTGAAAGCCTGCCAGTCTGCACTCCTCACATCGTTCGAGACTATTTTAAGGACTGCAGATTTGGCTTTTGGGTCACCATTGCGACCCTCTGCTGCTTCCCCCTGGGTAAAAGGAATGGGTAGTGTGGACTGTGTGGAAGGTCTGTGGGTGGGGATACGAGGGTTGGGGGCGGTAAAATGTCTGTAGTTCCGTATAGGAAATCAATCTTTCAGATTGGTCCTCTGGTCAACCAGGACCGGACATGAGGAGTATCTGACTTGCAGATAAGTCAGTGCCATGGAGAATTACCTCCCTGTCTTCTAGGTTCCCTTCACTAGCGGAAACCCCTCCACAGCTAATTATAGTACTGGGGTATGAGAGACTGTCAGAGGCCGGTCTGTTGGGGAGGGCTGACACAGATGGCATTGCTCAGGGCAAGGCTTCTCTGGCGTGCCCCAGTGGCCTGGCAGAATGGGCCCAACCTTTGACAGAGGGGACATAGTCTCTGTCTGGGTTGGGTCCCTTGTGGTGATGGCAGGGGAGGTGGGGCAGGCCCTCCAGGATGCTCCTCCATGCTCCCTGTGGTGTGAAATTTGCATACCCGTGGGAGAATCATCTCTCGAGACTGTTAAATGGAAAGACTCAGGAGGGGACGTGACCACTGATCTCTCCGGACCGCTGCCTTCCTCTGAGATTCCTGCCACCTCTGTCCTCGCAGTGAGCCTTCTCAGCGCCTGGATTGTTGCCCGACTCCGGAGGCGAAACTTCAAGAGGCTGCAAGGGCAGGGCCGCCAGAGCATCATGTCTGAGAAGTTCGTGGAGGGTGTGGAGGGTAGGTGCTGAACCAGCCAGGGTGGGGTGTAGCCTGCTGGCCGAGGCCCCACCTCCACCTCAGCAGCCTGAGGAAAGGGCTCTCTTTCCAAGGCCTGGGGCCCATGGCTCTCCTGGAGTTAGTGGGGCCTGGACTTCTCCACCCACAGGGCTCCTTAAGAATCCCACTTAGATGGCGGGGGGGGCGGGTGGTGGGGGCGGAAGAGGGAACACTGCCTCCTGGACGACTCTTCACAGGGTGGGTGACTGTGGCATTGGGTACATGCCTGAGCACAGCTGCCTTGTGACTTCTTACACTGGCATCTCAGGCTGCAGAGAAGCACTTACAGAGAGACGCGAGAGAGCGACCCACAATTGCAGTCTTGGTTTCACTGCCAAGCAATTTTTTTTATCTCTTTAAAATCTACCCCTACTTCCTTCACCCCAGTAAAATAGCAATGATAATATCACTTACTGGGAAGGAGAGATAGAGACAGTGGATAAGGTGTTTACTTTGCACATGGATGACCTAGGCACAGCCAGGATCGATCCCTGAGCACAGAACCAGGAGTAAATCCTGAGTGCCACTACGTGTGGCCCCCAAACTAAATTTTATATGTGTGTGTGTGTGTACACATATGTGTATATATTATATATATGTACATATATATTATAGAAATACCATTGATATATATTTACTATCTATAGACTGGAGAGATAGTACAGGGGTTAAGGGGTCTTGCCTTGCGTGCAGCAGTCCTGGATTCTATTCCCAGCACTGCCTTTGGTGCCCCCAGTCCCACACCAGGAGTAATACCTGAGTGCAGAGCCAGGAGTAAGCCCTGAGCATATATCCCTTACCTCATAGGCTTAGTGAAGATTAAATGAACAAACTCATGCAGAGCCCATGGTAGAATCCCAGGCACATAGTACTCAGGCAATGGGCATTATTTCTTTCATCAGCGTTGGGGAGCCACACCATGTCCTCTCTGGGCGGCCCCCGCTGACCAACACCCTCTCTCCTCAGCACTGGAATGGCAGGGCCACAAGGAGCCTTTCCGGCCTGTGCTCGTGCATCTACAGCCCGGCCAGCTCCGTGTGGTAGACGGCAGATTCTCTGTGCTCCGCATCATCCAGCTGCGGCCTCCGCAGCAGGTCAACCTCATCCTGTCCAGCAACCGCGGCCGCCGCACCCTGCTGCTCAAGATCCCCAAGGAGTATGACCTGGTACAGCCCAGATGGCCCCAGGGCTCCTTGTTCACAAGGACATTGAAGGAGGCTGCCTGAGGGAGAGGAAAAGTGAGAGGCCAGGCAGGGCTTCTGGCTTCTAGTCTTGCCGGAAGATCACCTGGAACATGTTGATCCTGCCCCAGGCCTGCTGGGTGACATGATCCCCGCGGTCCTTCCTCTTGCAGACATGGCCTGTCCCTCCCTTGTAAAGACACCCTGGCCAGTCCTCAGTGGGAGTCCTCGAAAGAGGCAGGGTGCTCAGCCCTGTCCTCTGATCTCAGGCTCCAGTGAGTTGTTAGAGATTGTGAAGGCCACTCAAGGTCCCTGTTCTACTCCAGGTCCCTGTTCTACTTCCTGTCCTCTGCCCTCCAGTCTGGGCAAGAGAAAGATGATCGGCTTTGCGCATGTGCCTTTGAAGTGCTCCCCCTGCACCTGCACAAGAGTCCAGGGGAGGGTGTGGGGGAGGAGAATGCCCTCTTTGTTGCTGGGTTTCTCTTCCCATCATGATCCCCCGACACCACTCACAGAGAGCACCGAACCTTCTGGGGCCCGGGTGAATGGCCGCCCTTCCTAGGTGCTGCTGTTCAACCTGGAGGAGGAGCGGCAGGAACTGGTGGAGAACCTGCGGGCGACTCTGAAGGAGAGTGGGCTGAGCTTCCAGGAGTGGGAGCTGCGGGAGCAGGAGCTGATGAGGGTGGCTGTGACACGGGAGCAGCGGAGCCACCTCCTGGAGACCTTCTTCAGGCACCTTTTCTCCCAGGTGTGAGGGCAGGATGGGTTCTGGCCTGGCCTGTCTGCTTCTCGCGGTGCTTTTCCCCCCTCTCCCCCCATCTGTCTGAGGTCGTGGGGTGACTCCAGGGAAAGTCAGAGGCTGAGTTCTTGCTTCTAATCAGTTCTGTAGCGGGAAGCCAGGAAACCACTCACTGGGCTGGAGCACATGTTGCATTTGTAGGAGCCCCAGGTTTGAGGCCTCTGAGTACCTCCAAAAGGAGCCCCCAAGGTGCACCAAGAGCAGCACCACCAGCATGACCCAAACATCCCTTCCTCCATCCCAGTTTTGCTCAAATTTCATGGTGCTGCTCCTATTCAATCCCAGTCTACCCCCAGCTGCAAGGGTGTTCCCCCATCTCCTCCTCAGCACTGTCCAGGCCTCCTGCCCTTACTTTCTCACCCTGCCCCTAAAGGCATGGGTATAAGGCTGAGGGAAGAGATTCCTGCAAGGGGGCTGAAGTGTTTCATAGCAATAGCTGAGACTCTTTGGAGGATGTGGGATGCAGAATAGGAAGAGAAAGGCCAGGGTTTGGGTCCTCCCCTCAACAGAAATGCAGGTACCCTACTTGCAGAGTAGGGGAGTGGACAAGTTGAGGAGACAGAGACTAAGTACTGTAGGGGTTGGGAGATGGTGCAGGAGTCTGTCATCCCACTCGGAAGGTGGAAAGACACAGAGAAAGTTGCAGAGATGATCAAGGAGTGAGTGGCCGAGGAGACTTCAGGCTGGTGAGGGCCAGCGCAGGTGAGATCTGGCAGGGATCTAAGACAGACAAGTTTTCGCTCGGAAGAATGTGTCAGGAGAGGGGCTAGAGAGATAGCACAGGGGCTCATGCACATGACTTGGCAGGACCAATCCTGGTTCAATCCCCAGTACCACATAAGGTACCCTGTGCCCCCTGTCAGGAGAGAGTCCTGAGCACAGAGTCAGAAGTAAGCCTTGCGCACTGCAGAGTATGGCCCCTCAAAGCAAACCAAAGAAAGGTAGTAGGAGGGGCTGGAGTGATAGCACAGTGTGTAAGGCGTTTGCCTTGCATGTGGCTGACCCGGGTTCGATTCCCAGCATCCCTTATGGTCCTCTGAGCACCACCAGGAGTAATTCCTGAGTGCATGAGCAGAAGTAAACGCTGAGCATCGCTGCGTGTGACCCAAAAAAGCAAAATAAATAAATAAATAAATAAATAAAAGTCAAAAGAAAGGTGGTAAGAGAGACTGGATAAAGGAACTTAGAAGAGCAAAATGTGCTATTTGAGGAGGGGGCAGGGCTGTTCCCGTTTCATGGTCACTGACTGCTGGGCACATGACGTACGCCCTTTACTCCATAGCTTGCACTTGCATGTGCATTAGAACAGAGGGACCCTCCCAGCTGGTATGAGTCATTCCCAGGCCCTTGCCACCTCTGTTCTGTAGCTCAGGATTCTTCAGGGCTAGGAGAACACTCTGTGTTCAGTGTGGGCTACTGTGCTCGTGGGTAGCTGCTTTTTGGAATTTCTGTCTGCACAGTGCCCTCAGCTCTCAAAAATTTTCCGTAACACCTGGCTGGCAATTCCCATAATAACCTTCTGTGATAAGTAGGGCAGGTGAGGAAACCAGGGCTGACTACTGAGGAGACTTGCCTGAGGTCATGCGGCAAGCAGGTGGTAGGGTGGCAGGGTTGGGACATGAACTTGGTCTGTCTCCAGCCTCAGGCTCTCTCCACCAAACCAGTTTGTTTGAAGGAACAAAGTTTCTTTCAGGGAAACAGCCAGGTCTGGGCTGGGGCAGCTCGGCAGACAGGCAGAAAAGATAGTTGCATGGGATGGTTGCATGCCCCTTCCCCTGCCAGCTAACCTTGGGCCAGAGCAGCTCCTGAGGGCACTAGAGAAACCCCAGATGCAAATTCCCTTTTTCCAAGCCCACATTTTTTCTCACCTCTGCCAATCATTTCCTCAGTCAAAAATTTCTTTGGGATGTTGGACTGGAAAGATAGTGTAGGGATTAAGGCACTTGCCTTGCATGCGGCCAACCTCAGTTCAATCTTTGACACCACATATGGCTCCCTGAGTTCCACCAGGAGTCATCCCTGAGCACAGAGTCAGGAGTAAGCCCTGAGCATCACCAAGTCTGGCCCCTAAGCACACAATAACAACAACAAAAATTCTCTGGAATGTAAGCAAACTGCTAGCCTTGACTAAGTCTCAGAGAACTCCGAAGAAATAGGGGGAACTCAGAAATTCCCAAGAGAAGATTGTGTGCCAGGGCCCAGGAGAGACCAGGGATAACAAACTGTCTGTACACAAGGCCACTACTTTCTGCTTCTGCCTCTGTTTCTCTGCTTTGCTCTCCCTCTGTCAAAGCACTTGGAGGAGAAGGATTAGCCACAACAGAAGATTCTGGATGGACTCAAGTTAGACCCAGCCCCTTTCAGTCCCAGTTCTAGACCCCCTGGGATCAAGCATGTGTCCATGTTCTAATAAGCGCCCACAGAGGACCAGGGCTCTGGAGAGCAAAATGGCCTCAGAGGTCACCCCCAGTACTGATGGTGTAGTGCTCAGGGCAGGCAGTGCTGAGCAGAAACTTTTAACGGTGCCTCCTCCGTGTCTCAAGGAGTCTTGGAGTCTAGGAAAACTCTTCTCCCCTTCTCTGCGGCTGGACTGCAGGTGCTGGACATCAACCAGGCCGATGCGGGGACGCTGCCCCTGGACTCATCCCAGAAGGTGCGCGAGGCCCTGACGTGTGAACTGAGCCGAGTTGAGTTTGCCGAGTCCCTCGGCCTCAAGCCCCAGGACATGTTTGTGGAGTCCATGTTCTCTCTGGCTGACAAGGACGGCAATGGTTACCTGTCGTTCCGGGAGTTCCTGGACATCCTGGTGGTGTTCATGAAAGGTAGGCTGGACTGAGGGGCAGTGATCTAGACGGAAGGGGCCGGGAACTGGGATGCAAGTGTGGCTGGTATGTTGGAAATGAGGTCTCTAGCCAAAGCAGACATCTGAGGGGATCACCCTGCGGGGGTCTCGCAAGTGGGTCCGAGTGGTGTAAGACCCCTCTTAGCCAGCCTGGGGTTGGGGGCTTCCTCATGGGGTTTTCTCTCTCCCAGGTTCCCCGGAGGAGAAGTCCCGCCTTATGTTCCGCATGTATGACTTTGACGGGAATGGTCTCATCTCCAAGAATGAGTTCATCAGGATGCTGAGGTCGGTCCTGTGGGCGAGACAGAAAGCAGGTTAGGACAGGGATAACAGGGAGAAGGGGGGAGATGCAAATAAGGAAGCCAGTGCTGCCTCTTCCTCACACACAAAGCCGGAGCTGGTCACCAGGAGGGGGCTTGGGCTGTGGCACCGAGGGCCTGGGAGGATAGCCAGGGAGTCCTGGGGATGGCCTGATGGCTCTCCTCCCCTCACCCCAGCTCCTTCATCGAGATCTCCAACAACTGCCTATCCAAGACGCAGCTGGCCGAGGTGGTGGAGTCCATGTTCCGGGAGTCAGGCTTCCAGGACAAGGAGGAGTTGACGTGGGAGGACTTCCACTTCATGCTGCGGGACCATGACAGCGAGCTGCGCTTCACACAGCTCTGTGTCAGAGGTGGGGGTCGGCGGGAGGTAGAACTGCCTGACCCTGGAACATGCAGGCTTCTGCCAAAGGCCAGCCACAGGCCATCATGTTTTTAGTTTTCATTTCTTCGACTAACAGCAGAAAAGGGTGGCCATACTAACATATGTAGATTAACATCTCCAATCTGGATTATTTTCTACTTTATATCTATGCAATTGCAAAATATGTTATGGGGATCCCAGAAAGGACACAGTACCTAGGACCCATGAAATTATGATGCAGGGCAGGTCGGAGAAACAGTACAGTTGGTAGGGTGTTTGCCTTACATGTGGTTGACCCTGCACCCATATGGCCTCCCACCAGGAGTGATTCCTGAGTGCCAATCCAGGAGTAATCTCTGAGCACTGCTGGGCTGCTGGGTGTGTGTCCTGATCACCCCCACCCCCGAAAATTCATAATGCAGGTCTGGGCAAGGTCAGGATGGGGTGTTCTGCGGGGTGGAAGGGCAGTGGCTAGATAGTGCCTGGAGTTCTTCCCCCAGCTCAAAGATATCCTGGCCCAGGGCCAGGAGCAATGTTTTCTTGTACCACCTAGTGCTGGAGGGCTGCTCTGGTTTCCTCTGCCTCTTCTGGACTTCCAGAATGCGCGGTCAATGTTGACTCCATGTGGCAGTAGACCCTTGTCTCCTGTTCCTCCCCCTACTTCCTGCCCCACCAACTTCTGACTCAGAAGGGCGGGTCCGGAGGCAGGGTGAGGAAGGGGCAGGGAGCGGACACAGCGACTGTCTGTGGCCTCAGAGCTCCCGCTTCTCATTGTTACATGTTGAGACCTATAATCCAGCCCCTCCCAGGCTTGTGAGAACTTGGGGGAGCTGAGCTGCCCCGATGTTGGAGTGGGAGGGTGGAGAAGGGGAGGGCAAGTTAGACAAGATGCAGATGGGCTTCAGCTCAGGGTTTCCTTTTGCCAGGGGAGAGGAAGGCCTTGACAGGGATGGAGTCCTGCCGACTCTGTGGCTTTGTGCCTTTCCCAGGAAGCCAGGGCAGCAGGCACCTGGGCTTGGGAGAGCTGTGCAGGCACCTGCGAGTGAGTCCGTGCCAGAGTCCTGGGGACACCCTGCCCCAGGCTTGGGGACTGAGGGCTATGGAGAAAGAGCACTGAGAGCTATTTTGTTTTGTTTTTAACAGTTGTGCTTTGTTGTTTCCTCCAAATTCTATTATTTTTATTTATTTTGCTCTTGGGCCACATCCAGTGATGCTCAGAGGTTTTCCCTAGTGGTGCTCAATGTTTGGGGTTGCTCCTGGAAGTGCTAAAGGGACCATGTGGTGCTGGGGATCAAGTCTGGGCCTCCTGCATGCAAAGTTGGTCTCTTGTGCATCCCCTCCCCCACCCATTTTATTTTGAAACTTTTCTTTCCTCTGTGTGTGGAACCTAGGACTTCCCATATGCAAGGTCTCTCCCACTGAGTCACATCCCTTGTCCCAGTAATTTGAAATTTGCTGAAAGGGGGTGGGCTACACCTGGTGGTGCTCAGGGCCACTGAATTGAGGGGTCACTCCTGGAGGTGCTTAGGGGACCATATGGGATGCCGAGAATAGAACCTAGTTTGGCCATGTGCTACAAACGCCCTACCCACTGTACTATTTATTGCTCAGACCCCCCTGTGAATTTTGCTTTAAGCCTTCTCCTTATCACTAGTCTAACTCCCCTTGGGGGAAGGGGCTGAGGCTGGGGTATTCCCAGAGGTGTGGGCTTTGCTGGCCAGGGCCCTCCCCCTCAGCATGTGGATGGCAATGGGAGCTATGCGTTTGAGCAGGTTCTCCTGGGATCTGGATACTCAGTAGCTTCTGTTTCACAGGGGTGGAGGTACCTGAAGTCATCAAGAACCTTTGTCGGCGAGCCTCCTACATCAGCCAGGAGAAAATCTGGTGAGCCCTTGGAGGGGCATGCTGGGTGAAGGGATGTGGATGGAGAAGTGTCTCTTCTTGCTCAAGAACAACCAGGATCAGTGCCACCACTGATCCGTGCAAGAAGAAAAAGATTTTCCTGGACTGGCGAGATAGCACAGTGGGCAGGGCACTTGCCTTGCACACCACTAACCCAGGTTTGATCCCTGGCACCATAGATAGTCCTCTGAGCCCTGCCAGGAATGATCCCTGATTACCCCTGGGTGTGACCAAATCTCCCAGTCAAACCCCTCAAAAGCAAAAGCAGCCCTGTGTCAGGGGGAGCAGAGCTGCTGGATCCCAGAGCTCACTCACTGCCTGGCTCAGATGACCCTCATCTTGGCCCTGGCCGAAGCCTCGGGATCGGCTCATTCTCTCACTGGGTCTTTGTGAGGCCTTTGCTCAGGGGACCATATGGGATGCCGAGAATAGAACCTAGTTTGGCCATGTCCTACTGTTCTGTGACTGAGCGCTTTGCTCCTTCTTCACCGAGTGGGTCTGAAGGCAGATCTGGAGCATCAGAAGATCAAGTGGTGGGCTGATTAAAGTCTGATCTGTTTCCTGCACTAGTCCCTCTCCCCGAGTGAGCGGCCGCCGGAGTGACATGGAAGGGGAGCTGACACCACAGCGACTGCAGTGCATCAGGGACACAGACCCTCCCCAGGAGATTCGACGGAGGTTTGGCAAGAAGTATGTTAGCTCCCCCCCTTCCACCTAGATGGTTCATCTTTCCTGTCAGCATGCATGCTTTACTTGTCTTCTGGCGCCAGGTATGGTGTTCCACACAGGAGCTGCAGACAAGATGACTAGTCCTTGCCCAAGAGCGTCATGGCCTGCTGAGAGTCTGGAACACTGACAGTGTCCAGCTGAAGCATGTTATAATAGACGTAACAGCAAAGGGCTTCAGAACTCAGGGGAACACTCACTGCTGCAAAGGCAGGGGAGTCTTCTGGAGGAGATGGACTTTAGGAATGGGAGTGGCTGGAGACTGTTCTGGAGCAGTGCCAGTCGGTATCTAGACTAGGTGTGTGTGTGTGTGGGGGGGTCTGTCTGAGTTGGGATGGACACTGGGCTGGTGCCTAGGATAAGCCCCTTGATCCCCCAGAGAGGCTTCCCTACACTCACACCCTGCTTGAGAAATATGGTTGACCAGAGCCCTGCTTGACTTTAGTCACTCAAGGTACGTGGTTGCCCTAGCTTTGGGTCCTGCCCTTAGGAGCCAGGCTTCCTCTCTCACAGGGTCACGTCCTTCCACCCACTGCTGTTCACTGAGGCGCACAGGGAGAAATTTCAACGCAGCCGGCGCCACCAGACCATGCAGCAGTTCAAGCGCTTCATTGAGAACTACCGGCGCCACATTGGCTGTGTGGCAGTGTTCTATGCCATCACCGGGGGCCTTTTCCTGGAGAGAGCCTACTGTGAGTGACCGCTCAGAGGGTGACAGTCCTGAGAGTGGGGCCTCCCTTGAGTGACAGTGTTGGGGGGCAGGGCCTCCTTTGACTGACATGCTGGGGCTGGGGCCTCACTTGAGTGACAGTCTCAGGATCTTGGCCTCTGTAATTCTTTCTGATCTGGGGTGGAGCCTCCTATGGGACAGGAGGGGGGACACGGTCTGCCCTGCTCACTCTCCTCTCCCCTGGTTCCCCCTTACCCTCCTGCCCCTTGGCAGATTACGCCTTTGCGGCTCATCACATGGGCATCACGGACACCACCCGCGTGGGCATCATCCTGTCCCGGGGCACGGCGGCCAGCATCTCCTTCATGTTCTCCTACATCCTGCTCACCATGTGCCGCAACCTCATCACCTTCCTGCGCGAGACCTTCCTCAACCGTTATGTGCCCTTCGATGCCGCGGTGGATTTCCACCGCCTTATCGCCTGCACCGCCATCGTGCTCACAGGCAGGGCAGGGAGTCCCGGGTGCTCCTCCAACCCACCCGACCCTGCTGGCTTCCCCCCATCTCAGAGGCCTCCCTCCCCAGATGGGCCTTCTCTCATGGAAGAAGGTGGCCAGAGACAGTGGTGTGACAAATCCATCACCTCTCCTATCCCTCTTGTTACACTAACAGGACCACCTCTCTGGCCTCCAGCTGACCATTTTTAACACCCCAGGACTGGTGCACAGGATGGCTGCTCTGTCCTAGGTGTCATGGTCTTGACTTGTTGGTTTTGTTTTGGAACCACCTCCTGCTCTGTGCTGAGATGTTGTTCCTGGCAGTGCTCAGAGGACCATACAATGTTGGGGATTGTTGGGACCATACAATGGTGGGGCCTTCTACGTGCAAAACATGTGCTTAGTCTGGTGAACTATGTTTCTGGCGCCCAGTTTTGATGTTTTAAACGATTCTATGGAGATTGTACAAGCCTCTTACCTTGCCCATGCTGATCCTGGCTTGATTCCTGGTACAGCATGTCTGGTCCCCAGAGCCCCACCAGGAGTGATCCTTGAGCATGGAGCCAAGAGTGGGCCCTGAGCACACTGAGTCAGGTGTGGCCTCCTAACCCCAAACAAACAAACAAAGTACAGGGGCTAGAGCAGTAGTACAGTGGGTAGGGCGTTTTCCTTGCACTAGGCTGAATCGGGTTTGATTCCCAACATCCCATATGGTCCCCTGAGCACTGCAAGGAGTAATTCCTGAGTGCATGAGCCAGAAGTAACCCCTGTGCATAGCCAGGTATGACCCTAAAAGGAATTTTACATATATATAATATATAATTATATATATATATATATTTCTGTTATAGAAACTGAAGGAATAAGCTTTACTATCATTTAACACATTATCATGCCTGTGGATGGTGTGATTATGGGACCTGGAAAGGAAGTAGAGGTTGATCAGAGATCAATCCAGACCCCTCCCCTGCATCTTGGGTTGGTGGGTTGATCAATCCACCTACCCAAGATGCAGGGGACTCAGCCCTTTCTCTGTGGCCTTTTTAGTGTTACACAGTGTAGGCCATGTGGTGAATGTGTACCTGTTCTCCATCAGCCCTCTCAGCGTCCTATCCTGCCTCTTTCCGGGTCTCTTTCATGATGATGGGTGAGTAAATGTGTGTGTGTGTGTGTGTGTGTGTGTGTGTGTGTGTGTGTGTGTGTGTGCACACTTGGGACTGGGAAAGGAAACTGGTGGGACAGAAAGAAGCAATCTCACATCAGAACAATAGTACAGCAGGTAGGGCACCTGCCTTGCATGCAGCTGGCCTGAGTTCGATCCCCAGCATCCCATATGGCCCCCAAGCACCGCCAGGAGTGATTTCTGAGTGCAGAGCCTGAGCATCACAGAGTGTGACTCAAAAACCCAAGAGAAAGAGAGAGAGAGAGAGAGAGAGAGAGAGAGAGAGAGAGAGAGAGAGAGAGAAGCAGTTTCTTCACCCAGTGGACAGGATTACTTTCTAGGTTTGCAGACAGTGATCAATATGAGTTCTCAGCTCCAATCAGCAGAAAAGGAAACTAGTGGGATCGGAGCAATTGTACAGTGGATAGGGCACTTGCCTTGCAAGTGGCCAACCCGGGTTCAATACTTTGCACCCCATAATGTTCCTCAAATCTGCCATGAGTGATCCCTGAGTACAGAGGCAGGAGTAAACTCTGAGTATAGTGGGGTATGTCAAAGAAAAATTAAAAAGAAAAAAAAGAAAGGAAAGGAAACTGGTGGCTGGGTTGAGGGGTTCCTTGGAGGGGTCTTTCTGGGTATCCCAGGCAGTTCCTCTCAGGGTCTTTCCTTATTTTCTCCCCAGCTCTGAGTTTCCCCAGAAGTATTACTGGTGGTTTTTCCAGACTGTACCAGGTGAGTGCCCCACCTGCCCCAGCCCCAGAACTGCTGAGCCCCATTTTGCACTTCAAACTCTACCAGGGCAACCTAATTGCTCTCCTCTGCCCTCCTAATTCCGGTCAAGCCCGCTGGCCCCAAGACTGTCCTGAGCAGTAATGACTTTGCATTCTAGTGTCTCTCTCCGGAGCTTACCGGGGCTCTAGCCTATCTCTGAACTCGTTTCTGCCTCTGTGGACTAGGCTTCCCCACCTCTACATTCATTTGCCATGACAGTGGCTTTGAGGAATGCTGTGGCCCAGCTGCGCTGCAGGGGGGAGGGCCAGGGTTGTTGTCAAGTATGCTGACAACACCCCCTCCCTTGCATCCCCTTCCACCGCATCCCTGTAGTCTGTCTTGACAAAGGCTGTTTAGGGGAATATTCCTAACTCCCCATAATCACCCATTTTAGAGCTATTAGCTGTGAATCTATTCAAACACTGCTTGAACCTATTTATATTTTCCGTCTGTCTCCTCCTTGGGGTAACACAATTCCTACTCTGGCTCCTCTCTCTGAAGCACAGCATGGTTTTTTATATGTTTTTAATCCTAAAACGATGTGCTTTGAACTTCAGAGAGTGCTTGCTAATTCCTGCACACTGGGGCTTGGGGGATAAGGCTGTGTTTATGCTCTTCTCTCTGCTCACGACTTTACAGGCTTTGCTTAGATCCCTTCTTAACCTTTGCTTTTCCATACTGCAGGGTGCTAATCGTCCTCATTTCTGCCTCTTTCCTCCTGATCACTTGAGAAGCTCCCACTTTGGCTCCAGTGTTGCCTTCCAGTGTCCCACAGATCTGGGATCTCCTGTGACAAGAGGGTCAGCTGGAAACTCTGGGCTGGACCCAGGGGACCTCTAATAGTTGCTCTCCGTGGCCTCCCCTCCCCTGTTCCGCACCTCTCCCGGTGCTCATGCTACATTCTGTGGCGGCTGAGTGGGTGCTGTAGGGACACAGACCCAGCCTTGACTCCCAGAAGGCAGGACCTACTATGTTCCAAAGACGACTTTGGGGGCCCAGAGTTGAGGCCCTGTGCAGCACAGCACACATTTCTCTGCCGCCTCCGTGTGCCAGGCCTGCCTTGGACAGCAGAATTCTGAGGTGAACTCACCTAACCTGCCCCCTGCTCTCGTGGAAAGCTGGAAAGCGACAGACATAGAACAAATAATGACGCTGGTACTTGACAAATTACAATTGTGACTAGGCCTGTGAAGCATGAGTCTGTTGAAGTGAAAGTTTTCAGCATCAGCCGTGGAGGGGGGTGGGGGGGGTAGGGGACAAAGCAGAGTGCTAGGGATTTCCCCACCTCGTGGAAGAACCATGGAGATGGAAAGGGGACCCTGTAGCCCCGGGTGCTGGGCCCATTCCCCCTGCCATTCACCCTGTGTTTGTTTGCAGGCCTCACAGGGGTGGTGCTGCTCCTGGTCCTGGCCATCATGTATGTTTTTGCGTCCCACCATTTCCGGCGCCACAGCTTCAGAGGCTTCTGGCTGACCCACCACCTCTACATCCTGCTCTACGTACTGGTGAGGGCTGGGCCTGTGAAGTTTGGGAAGGCTTTTCCCAAGGAGCCATGAGAGAGAAGAAACCCCAAGCCATTCCAAGTATTGAGGATCCCCTTGATGTGTCCACAGCTCTCTGAGAATATAAAGGTTTTAATCTGGGGCTCTTGAGTTGACAGAATCCCGGTCTTAGCATTCAGCCTAGTCTTGCAGTGGCAGCTTGGCCAGGCTCATCAACATTCACTGCAGGCACCCCACATCATTTCTGCCCAGCCTGCATTTCCCCACTTGGGACAACTGGTTTGGTCTCTTGGGTACTGCCCACACTCTAGGGAACACCACCCCCCTCCTTGTTTTTTTTTTAAAGGGGAAACTTACCTCAAGGTAGGTTATCTTAAATGGGTTCTGTCACTTTGGGTCTGATCCTATTTTCTAGGGTGTCAACCACCCTGCCCAGCTAAGTGCTACCTGTAAAGTTAATGAGCATACACAAAATGTCTTGCTTGCACTGCTAAGAGAATGGATTTTTAAGGTCTGCATGTCCCTTTCCTTTTCCTTAACTCGAGTTCCTGCTTCCCTTACTTCATACCCCCTCCACCTTCTCCCCTCAGTTCCCTTCACTTCCCCTGGCTTGGTTATTAGCTGCTTCAGCTGGTTTGTTCCACATCTGTGACCCATGCCCCTGTCACCATTTATTCTTGCCCTTCCTTTCTCATAGACACAGGCAAAGGGCACCCCATGGGCCTGACGAAAAGGCTAAACTAAGCCCCAAGGGCTCAGATGTCTCCACTGGTGATCACCTGGCTGACTCTCTCTCCCAGAGTTCCAGGTTGAATGGCGCACAGGGGTCTCTTGGACCTTAGACAGCGGGAGAGAGTCTGTCCTGGGCTGTGCTGTGCGGTGGCCAGTTCAGCCTCCTTGAAATTTCATTGTGTCTCATAGCTCCTAGGTGACAGGGCCTGTTTCTGCTTTGCCTGAGGCACAGCACTTCATGGTTCTGGCATACCAATGCCCAGCCTGGCGTGGAATGCTTCCTAGAACATCGGTGTTTGTTTTCAAAGGAATCTGTCCCTTGTTTGGAGGTACTGGCTAGTTTAGTCCACCCACCTCTCCACAGCCCCCACTACCCATTACTGACTCTTGCATTCCGTGGGACTGTTTCTTTTGCTCATGGAGAGGGTGTTCTTCCTCATGAGAAGGCAGCTTTGTTGAACTAGACTGGGGAGATCCTAAAGGGTAACTCCCTGACACCATGACTACTTTCTGATTTTTCACTGGGGGATCCTTGAGGTTCAGGCACACCTTTCAGGCTACAGGGGATAAGCAGCTCAGAAAAGCATAGGCCTCTCCTTTGGGCCATCTCACTCCAGTAGCGTTGGAGCCTCTCATTGGGTGAATCATGGTCAAGATGCCCATATTTTTTCCTTCCCACCTAGCCTGGCTAGGGCCTCTTGACTTGGGGCAGAAATGGAAGTTATAAAGACCTCAGTGGAGAGAAGGCTTGGGGTAAGGTGTCCAGGCCACAGGGGCTGGCCAGCTCCTCTGGCTTCTTGCCCACCACGGAAGGCGTCTGCCACAGCTCTGTGGTTTAAAAGTTAAGCCAACACCAAATGGGGCATATAAACAGAGGAGTATGAGGTCATTCTAATATTGTTCTCCACCTGGTTGGATGCTCAGAGAGCCTTGGGGATGGGCGTGTACTCCACAATAAAAGAGAAACCAGCCAGCTCAGTGGGCTGCTGGGAGAGGTTGGTGTTGGTCCTATGAGGAAGGGCCCCCAACTGGAGCACGACCGTGGGGGTGAACTGAAGAGGAATCAGGGATAGTTGAAGTGCCTACTCATGGTTGCTTCCCGGAGCCCTATGCTCTGGTACTGGAGCCAAAGAGAAGATTAAGCCATTGTCTCCCCAAATAGGCAGTACAACCCCTATAGGATGCTGAGCCATCCAGAGTGCAGTCTGGGATGTAATTGAGGGGTGCTTTCTGTTCACCCTTCAAAAGAAGGTAGATTTCTGGGGCTGGAGAGATTTTGCAGGGGTTGAAGCACTTGTCTTGCATGCAGTCCATCTAGGTTTATTCCCTGATACCACAGATGGTCCCCCAAGTACCAGCAGGAGTGATCCCTGATCAGGTGCAGAGTCAGGAGTAAGCCGTGAGCACAGCCTGTATGTACCCTCACCCCACAAACACACACAGGGAAAAAAAAAACTAAGAAGGTAGATTTCTGGAGGGGTACTGACATTTTTCCTGACAAGGGAGTAATTGGCAGGTAACTTTGGGAACCTCAGCTCTCGGTTCTGTCCTCAGGAATTGAGGGTTTTCTGTGAATAAAATTCTTTATCTCTCTCCCTTTATCTCTCTCCACCCCCACCTACTCTCTCTCCCACACAAACACACACTCACACAAAATGATCAAAATAAACAGATAATATGCAACCGATAGTTGAGTTTTCTGAACAGTAAGTTATAGGAATTCTCAGAGAGAAGTTTCATTTGGGCCAAACTGGTTAGGGAAGACTCTAGGGAGAAGATGGGACTTGGGCCAAGCCTCCAGGGGAGATAAGCTACAGGGGGATGGGGCAGAGAGGGAGCTGAAATACATTCAGGCAGAAGGAAGGGCATGCGCACTGCTGTAGAAGTGGAAACGATGCTAGACTATTCTGGGAGCAGAGAAGGCAGACCTGCCTGGGGATGGCCATTAGGTGCATTAGGAGGTAACGCATGACCCTGGGCCTCTATAGGTTGCAGCTGCAGCTGCGGGGTCAGGTCTAGGAATATGCCAATGCAAGAGAACAGAGAAGAGCAGAGTGAGGAAATCAGGCTTGGGCAACATGCAGAATTGGGGGTGAGGGAGGCATAATCTGTGGCAGAGTGGGAGGAGGAAGAACCAGTAGAGCACTGCTGTAGAAGTGGCAAGGATGGAGTGGTCTCAATTTCCAGACTGCCATGGGTGGGAACCAAAGGGCTGGGTCTGCAGGCAGTCCTCAGATCTGGTTGTTTCAAGAAGGAAGGGAGGTGTCTGTGCCACCCATGAGCCCTCCAGGAGCTGATCCTGAGGAAGCGGGGGTGGGAACCAGACTGACCCAGACTTGGGAGCCAGCAAGTGGGAGAATGGGGACAAGGAGTACCAGAGCACATCAGACCAGCTGACTGGGAGAAGGCGCGTGCTGGGCAAAACCTGTCAGTTCTTTCATGGACACGGGACTGGTTTGGTGCTGGTAAGGCTACAGAGTGAGAAGACAAATTAGGTAAACTTTTTCCATGGACTCAGCGGTCCCTGCATGCCAGGTGCTGAGGGCATCGTGGCAAACAGAATGGACACAGTCCAGGAGAAAAACAAGGAAAACAAGTCCATGAATGAAAACTCAAATGCTTATGAACAAATGTTCTGAAGTTCATGGCGGTTGGGGTAGGGGGGAGGTGACAGAGGAGAAGGTGGTATTGCTGCTACAACCTGGAACCTGAGATTTTGGAGCTCACCCTGGGAAGAATTGGGGAGTGGGGGTGGGAGTCACATTCCTGGCAGAGGGATCAGCAGGCATGAAGGTCTTACATGAAGCAGATAGGATTTGTCTTGTTTGCAAAACCAGGGGAGGGAAACACTGGCAGAAGCTCGCAAAGCCTGGTGCTCTTATGAGAAGCCCACAAAAGCTTTTTCAGTTGGGAACGATAAGAAAAAATGAACTTTATAAAGCTACGCTGACTGGAAGTGTGGGGAAGGCTCTTGCCTTGCAAGGAGCACTACTGGGTGCAACCTCCACACACAGAACCAAGCGTAGCCCCCTAAGCACTGTTGGGTGTGGTCCAACCACCCCCAAATGAATTAGAAATCACACTGGTGGTCTTGAAGAGAATGGATCTTGGTGGCAAGACACCACTGCTGAAGGAGCTGTATACATGCAGACAAGAGGCGATGGAGGCTCCAGGCTGGTGGCAGGGCTGGGAGGCTGGGACAAGCAGGATGTGAAATGAGGTGGGGTTCTGAGGTGCCAGTGGGGGGAATGGCAGAGGCACGAGGCGTTCATGGCCTTGGGTCCAGTTGGGGTGGCTATATTTGATCCAGTTTCTTCCTTCTGTTCAGCTCATCATCCATGGCAGCTTCGCTCTGATCCAGATGCCTCGTTTCCACATCTTCTTCCTGGTCCCAGCACTCATCTATGGGGGTGACAAGCTGGTGAGCCTGAGCCGGAAGAAGGTGGAGATTGGAGTGGTGAAGGCAGAGCTGCTGCCCTCAGGTACCAGCCTACCAGGACCAGCTTGGCAGAACCAGGATAGCAGCAGAGACATGGCTGGTGGAGTGGGTCCGGGCTTGGGGACAATGAAGAGGATAAGAGAAACTCTTTGTCAGGAGACTTCAAAAGGAGAAACAGTCCAGGCCAGGCAGTCCTGCTGATCAGGAGCCCCCCTGCCAGTGCCTCCTCAGGGGGCCATGGTTCAAGGGCAGTTGGGACATCTGATGGGAACAGGGCTCCATCATGTTCCAGATGTGAGTTGAAGTGAGGTGAAGCAATCTCTGGAGGCCACGTTATAGTGGGGTGCAGAACAGCAACCTTCTCTCTTCAGGAGTGACCCACCTGCAGTTCCAGCGACCCCAAGGCTTTGAGTACAAGTCGGGACAGTGGGTGCGGATTGCCTGTCTGGCTCTGGGGACCACCGAGTATCACCCCTTCACGCTAACATCTGCACCCCATGAGGACACGCTCAGCCTGCACATCCGGGCAGCAGGACCCTGGACCACTCGCCTCAGGGAGATCTACTCGCCCCCACCGGGTGACACCTGTCCCAGATACCCAAAGGTGCCTAGGCCGTGTGCTAGTAGGCTCCCACATTTCTATAACCAACCTTGGCCCTCTCCCAGACCCCAGATGCACCTCTGGCCCTCTAGACTTGGCTGTTCCAGATAAGGCCAGCAGTCCCTTTCTTCCCCTGCACTCCATAAACCCATCAGCCTTTTAAGACCTTGAATTTCTGGCTCTGGGATCATGGTGGAGACCAAGCTTAATTCAAACCTATTCACCTTCCTGCAGCTATACCTTGATGGGCCATTTGGAGAGGGCCACCAAGAGTGGCACAAGTTTGAGGTGTCTGTGCTGGTGGGAGGGGGCATTGGGGTCACTCCCTTTGCCTCCATCCTCAAAGACCTGGTCTTCAAGTCTTCAGTCAGCTGCCAAGTGTTCTGTAAGAAGGTGAGTGTCCCTCCTTCTTCAGCCTGAGACCTGTCACTGTGTCCATTGGTGCCATTCCCCACCCTTAATTGGATAAGACCCCGTTGACCTGACCATGGGGTGGATGGAGGTCAGGGTATTCATGCAACCCCCCAAAGGACAGAGTGGATTTGCTGGTAACTGCAGTCTGTTTTACACAGATGCCTTCCTTTGTTATGGGGAACCCTATAGAAGATTGGTGATGAGGAGGAGAGGGGCAGAGACACCCATTTCCTCTTACATGGCAGCCTGGTACTTGGAGTGTGGTGGAACTGGGAGAGAGAATGGCACACTTGGGATGGGGAGCAAATGAACCTGGATCTGAGGATTGGAAGGGCCAGTGGGGCTGGGGGAGGCGCTGGACTGGCTTCAGGCACATAGCCCAGCCCTTAGGTCCCTCCACCCTAGTCTGGACCTGGTAGCAGGCCCCTGCTTGTCTCCTGGGCCTGGCCATGAGTCAGGGGCACAGGAATGCAGCGGGCAGAGGCCCGCCCATAAGCTGTGGGCATTGAAGGTGACAGACAGCTCCCCTTCACCCTGTCCTCCATCCCTGACAGCTCTTCCCGGACTCCAGTCCACAAAGGCACACATTCCTCCCCATCCGAAGCTAGAGGTGCTCCCCACCCCTCAGCATCTCAGGGTCCCCATCTCTCAAGTCCTTCCCCAAGCTCTGGGGCAGCCAGTCGGCTCTTTCTGAGGCTGTTCTGTGACTACCCTCTTTTCCCTTTTGGGCAGCCTCTGTGGGGTCACTGGAGGGAGTGGCAGGGTGGGTCCAGGATGGGGCAGAGTCCCTCACCCTGTCAGACCTGCCACTCCCTGCTTGTCTCACTGCCACCAGGCTGTCACCCACAGTTGCCTCGTCTGCCTTGGGGCAGCACCTGGCTCTGCAGACCCCATGTACCTCAGGCTGTCTGGAACCAGCAGTGTTTCATGTGTGTGGTGACCCTAAACTGTGTGTGTCCCCAGATCTACTTCATCTGGGTGACGCGAACACAGCGGCAGTTCGAGTGGCTGGCCGACATCATCCGGGAGGTGGAAGAGAATGACCGCCAGGACCTGGTGTCTGTGCACATTTACATCACTCAGCTGGCTGAGAAGTTCGACCTCAGGACCACAATGCTGGTAGGTGAGGGCTGGCCCTGTGGGGCAGGGAGTCACCACCTGGACTAGTAGCTGACCCTGGGCCTGCCGGGTGGGGCCTTCTCCCTCTGTCCCCCAGTACATCTGTGAGCGACATTTCCAGAAGGTGCTGAACCGGAGTCTGTTCACGGGCTTGCGCTCTGTCACCCACTTTGGCCGTCCCCCCTTCGAGCCCTTCTTCAACTCCCTGCAGGAGGTCCACCCACAGGTCAGTCTCCCCCTAATTCATTGTGGGCGCATCACCTGTATGTGGGGCCTGAGCAAATCTCCCACACTTGCTCCATTACGGAAGGAACTAGTGAGACCCTCTCCCTGAAAGACAATGGGGTGGTGGAATGGGAAAGGAGGAAAGATAGTTATCCTATGGGCAAGGAAAGAGGCTGGTGACAGGGATCTTCCACCTCAGAAGCCACAGTGCCTTGTCCACAGTGAAGAACTCTGTGACCGAGCTAGTCCTCCCCAGAACTCAGCATTAGTCTTCCCTCTGGATAGCCAGCCCTTTCTATCACACTGAGCTCATCATCACATGGATCTTGGGTGAAGATGAGTGACTATGCACCAGCAGGGGGCTGACCTCACTGACATTTGGAGCTGCCCTCAGCTTGAACATCAGTAAGCACCAGCCCATTAGAAACACTGGGAGCTGGGGTCGAAGCGATAATACAGCAGACCCAGGTTCGATCCCTGGCCACCACCAGGACTAATTCCTTAGTTCAGAACCAGGAATAACCCCTGAACATCACGGGGTGTATGCCAAAAAAAAAAAAAGAGAAACACTGGGAGCTGACTTGGAGGTGGGCAGAGGCCAGGCCAGAGTTCGGGTTTACTAAAATCCAGCTAGTGCCCAGCAGGGCTGGCACAAAGCAGCCCACACAGCAATGTAGGGTGAGCTGCACCAAGCATCCTTGCTGTTCTTGAGCCAGGAGTCTTTGCTTCTTCCTCTCCCAAATAGGTTCGGAAGATTGGGGTGTTTAGCTGTGGCCCCCCTGGCATGACCAAGAATGTGGAAAAGGCCTGTCAGCTCATCAATAAGCAGGACCGGACTCATTTCTTCCACCACTATGAAAATTTCTAAGCTTCCATCCAAGGCTGAGCAGAGGTTTGGGTGCACTGCACCTGTCTGATTCCCTCTGTCTTCTTCTCTTCCCACCTCCTATTCTTGGTTCAGTCACTCCTGGTGGCTTCAGGGACCCCCAGACCCAGAATGCATCCTGGTCTAGAGAAGTGGGAGGCACTGGGGATGAGAGGCTGGGAAATGGAGAGCTTTCACTGCCTTTTGACAAGGTGACACTTTCACATTAAGAAGAAAAAGTCGACTGAACTAGCATGCATGTGTGACATGTGTGTGTGTATGTGTGTTCAGCCTAAGGATGAAATGAGAGCACAGATGCTGGCATCTCAGAACCTCGCCCCCAAGGCTGCCCATCCATAACTTGGTTCCCTACTGTCAAAAGGGCTTCTAGATGCCTTGGAGGGGTGGGGGCTGGAAACACAGAGCAATTTACAGGAACCCCTAAGAACCCTGGTCTAACAGTTCAATTGATCTTCGTTGGAGTTTTTAACATGTGCTATAGTCAGAACCTGGTCCGGTATGTCTGGATGGCACCCCTCAGCCCTTCATTTCTTGCTCCTGTAGTCTCCATTACAAATAAACACTTTTGCTGCTCTCAAGATTTCTTTCTTCTGCCCCGATGTGGTGGTACTGCACGGACAGTGGAAGCCTCCCATCCAGCCCACTCTCCAGGCTGGTCCAGATCTTCTTGCTGAGCTTGCCAGTATCTGAATATAAACTGTGCACAGTCAAGTGCCCCACAAGAGTCCCCTTGGGGCTAGAGTGATAGCACAGTGGAGAGGGCGTTTGCCTTGTACACAGCCAACCTGGATTCGATCCCCAGCATCCCACATGGTTCCCCAAGCAACACCAGGGGTAATTCCTGAATGCAGAGCCAGGAGTAACCCCTGTGCATCGCTGGGCGTGACCCAAAAACCAAACAAAAAACCCACAAGAGTCCCTTTCCCAGCTCAGCCTTTCTGAGAGGGTCCTGAGAGTGGCTAGTATGAGGTTTGGGTAAGAAAGAAGGTTGGGGGGCGGGGGCAGATTCTGTAGGAGTTGGCTAGGCACCAATTGGTGGAGAAGGGGGACAGAGTTAGCCTGGCTTGCCTCAGGACCCTTTACTCTCAACCCTCCTGTGAGCAGCAGGTGAGCCAAACACCTGTGCCACACAGGATGGTAGCTTGCAGATGCCAGCAGGGAAGACAGGTGGCATCAGCCAGTTAACCTCTTGGGGCCTCTTTTCTCATCTGCAAATGAGCAAATACCTTCCCAGTCTACTAAAAGACTGGGTATGTCCCTGAGGGAATTTCTGAAGCAATGGCCAACTGCGACTGTCCCCAGTGAATTCTAAACGAACAGCAGTCAGGATAACCATCATGGAACTCTGGATTAGAAAATCCTCACGACTCACTTCCCACTGGGGAGTCACAATTTTGGATCTGGAGAGACCCTTCCCGGGTGTCTGTGCAGTCCGTGGGCTCGGCCTGGCAGTTTCTGCTCCAGCTTGGCCGTGGGAGCAGGAGGGCAGGCTTGGTGGGTCGCCCCGGGGGTCCAGGAACAGCGCAGGACTGGAGCTGGTTCCTGTGCTGAACGCCCTGGCCAACAGGGCGCGCGCGCGGCCGGCCCCGCCGGGCTCGGGCCCCAGGCTGGAGGGCGCCCTGGGCCGTGGCCCGTCAGGCTGCAGGTCCTGGTGGGGCGCCGAGCCCGGCGGGGTCGGGGGGCGCGGCCGGCCCCGCTTCCTCCGTGAAGGAAACGCCGGCGGCTGCGCCCGCCTTCCCGCCTCCGCGTGGCAGGGCCGCCCCGTTCCCTCCAGCCCGGCGCGCCGCCTCTTTGTCTCCCGCGGCTCCCCCATCCTCCCAGACGAACCGCCGTTGGCAGGAAACCGGCCGCGGGGCGGGGAGGCTGCGCCCGTCGGTGCGGCAGGGAGGGGGGCGCCGCGCGGCCGCTCGCCTGCGGGCGGGGCGGGACGTTTTGACGTCTCGTCGGAGGCAGGAACTCGATGCTTCGAAAGTGCTTTTCACAGCCGGCCCGCGTCGGCTCGGGGCGGGTTTATAAACAGAATCTGCGCTCGCCCGGCCGCTCCCTCCCGCGCGGGTCTGCGGAGGGGCGGCGCGGCAGGCGCGGACGCGCGAGGCCTGGCGGGACGCGCTTTATTTGTTGCCTCTGGCCGGGAGCCGGGGTGGCTCGGGGACCGCACAAGTTCCCTCCGGCCCGAGCCCCTCCTTCCCCTCCTCGCCTCCCCAGCCGCAGCGCCTCCCCCCGGCCCGGCCTCCCGGAGCGGCGCACCAGACTCAGGGCGGAGCCCGCCCGTGGTTCCGGGCTGGAGGCGGAGCGAGGTCCGGGCGCCTCGCGGTCTGTCCCCGCCCCACCCGGCACCGACCCCGGGAGAAGGTGGTGGTGGGCCGAGGGGTCGTCGCTCCGGGGAGATGCTCGGGAGACCCAGGGCTCCGGCACTCCCTTCCGGCAGGGCTCTCCTTTCTCCCTAGTGATGGGTTCCTCTGCTGTCGGCTCCTGGGCAGCCCTTCCCCTTTAGAATAAATTAAGGACTCTGGCTTCCACCCCTCCGGGACCGGGAAGAAAGGTAGGGGAGAGGTCCTGTCCCGAGGACGGGGGACGGGCACAGGGCTGGTCCAGATCTGTCACAGTGCTGGGGCCTCATATCTACAGAGTCCGGATGGCCACGGGGTAGAGCAGGGACATGTGCTCAGCCCCCTTAATGGGCAGCTTGCGGCTGGCGTAGTGATGCACGATTTCGGGGACGCTGCTGAAGGGCGGGCTGTTCTGGCCCAGCACGTACTTGTGTTCCTTGGTCCGAGACAGCTTCATGTGCATGAAGCCCTGACTGCTCCTGGGGAGAGGAAGGAGATCCGGGTGAGCGGGGGCGTCCTCCAGGCCTCCTCCTGACCCCACACAAGCTGCTGGCTGGGCGCAAGGGGCAAGAGGGGAAGCCCAGGTCAAAGCAGGGAGGGGGGCAAGGGAGCTGGCTTTGTAGCCAGGGTACTGGGTGTGCCAGGAATGTGTGTGGTGAGTATACTGGGCGTGTGCAGGTGGGAACTGGAGTGACCAGCATCCACCCGCCCCTGCAGAACCAAAGCAAACCTTCCAGCCCGTATCACCAGGGTCCTGGCACTGGGTTGGGCAGGGCAACCAAGCAGGTCTCCTTGGGGCTGGCTTGTAGAGACCAGGGAACAGGCTGAACCACCCTGGACATCCTTCCCAAACCTGGGGTTCCCCAGCAGCCTGGTCTGGGATGATGCCTTCACTTTTCCATCACACACACAATCCCTCTGCCTGGACACAGAGAGGACTCACCCGCCCAGTCCCTCAGCTTGGGCTGACCTCATACATGGTATCACCAGGCTGCAGCCCCGCCCTTAGTGGGGACCCACACCACAGCGGCTGAGTCTCCTCTCAGCCAGCCAGGAAAGCTGCAGTGCTTGGCCCTGCCTGGGGGAGGGGCTCTAAACTCCATGTGGGTGTGGGCCCCTCAGGGAAAACAGGTGCCCTCAAATACTACAGGCTTGTGGGTTGGACCCTCACATAAAGGGGACGCCATGGATGGGACAGCCCCAATGCCTGAGGACTCGTCCACTGCTGGTCAGAGCTGGTGGGCAACAAGGACACAGCCCTTATAGAACAAGTGAGGCCTGCCAGTGCTGGGAGACAAAGCTGGAAACTCCTCTCACACACCTCCCCTGCAAAGAAGGTTCTGGCTGGGCCATGAGGCCATGAGGCCAGTGAGAAAATGGAGAGACTGAGGAGGGAAATGACCTGAAAACAGGCCCCTCACTAAACCCAGCCCACCTGGGGTTTAGCACCCTCCTGGAGCCTGTTGCTGCCCCCCCCCCCCCCCCCCCCCCCCCCCCCCCCCCCCCCCCCCCGCCTCCCAGGGCTGGGTGTATCTATCAGGGTGGGAGGGGTTTATCCATCAGCTGCAGGGCTAAGATAATGGCTGAAGCTGATAGGGAATGCACAGGCCCAAGAGAAAAGAGCCTAAGGAACGTGCACAGAGCCCACAGATGGCTGGAAGGGCAGAGAGCATTTGCCTTCCCCAGGCCAGGCCCCCAGACTGGGGTTAGCAGTGTGTGTGTGTGGGGGGGGGGGGCACACTTCCCTTCCCTCTCTCCCAGGTTGGTGGGTAGCCCGTCCCCCCACCCACCAACAGTCCACAAAAGTAATTCTCCGTTCCCTAACCCTTGTACCTTCCCCTTTGTACCTTCCCCAAAGGTAACAAGTGGCCAGAGATCTGTGTGGGATGCCGAGTGTCCAGCTTCCGTGGCCTCCTGGGACAGTCCCCTGGGTCCATTAGGACACTGCAGAGCCCTTGCCAGACCCTCAGGGAGCTGGGGTGGGGCCAGTCTGGCCACAGGACCAGGGCTGGTCTGGCTTTTTGAGGAAGCTGTTTAATTACCAATGAAAGCCCTTCCATTACAGAGAGAAGAGAAACCATAATTGTATTTCAGAGAAGCCATTTATATGCAAACGAGATTCTGGCAGACAGATGCTGGCGGGGGCCAGATCAGCCTGGGCTAGAGCTGGTGTCCAGGCCTGCCTCCCCCTTTCCCTCTGCAGGCTAAGGCAGGGCCCAGCTCAGCCAGGCTGTACTTGGCTCTTGGAGCCAGACCCTTGGGGTCTCCCCTGGCCTTGGATGTTACTAGACTCGTGAGGGGTGGGGCTGTCCCCTGGAACAGAGCAATTCTTGGAGCCAGATGGAGCTGGGTTCCAGACCTGCTATTAGCACCTTAGCTGGTGGCCTTGAGACTCTAAATAAAAGACCAAACTTGGGGCTGGAGAGATAGCACAGCGGGTAGGGCGTTTGCCTTGCACGCAGCCGACCCGGGTTCGATTCCCAGCATCCCATATGGTCCCCTGAGCACCTCCAGGAGTGACTCCTGAGTGCAGAGCCAGGAGGAACCCCTGTGCATTGCCAGGTATGACCCGAAAAGCAAAAACAAAACAAAACAAAAAAAAGACCAAACTTGCAGGGTGCTAGTTGGTTTGGAAAAGGTGCATGTACTGTTTGGCAGTACTCAAAGCTCTACAGATCCCTTATTTTTATTTTTGTGGAGTCAGGGATCAGACTCAGGGTCTTATACACATAGAGCAAGTGCTCTACCACTGAACTACATCCCCTCCTAAAGTATAAATCTTAATTATGCTTTTAAAAGGAGAACATGTTAGTGAAGAAACAGGATTTTTCCCTGGCTGCTTTTTTTTGGGGGGGGGCACACCCAGAGATGGTCAGGGGCTACTTCAGGTTCTGCACTCAGGAATTACTCCTGGCGGTGCTTGGGGGACCATATGGGATGCTGTGAATTGAACCTGAGTCATCAGCCTGCAAGGCAAATGCCCTACCTGCTGTATTATCACTCCAGCCCCTCTAGCTGCTTTTTTTGACTGATAATGTGAGTCCTCCATCTACACATTCTAAAAGGAAGAGAAGTTAAGCCAATTTGCCTAAAAGCCCAGAGAAGTTAAGCCAATTTGCCTAGAGTCACATAGCCAGAATGGAACTCAGATAAAATTCAGATAATCTCACCATAGTTTAGTAATTTTTCTATTTTCACCCAGTGATGTTGAATAACAATCCTCAGCTTTATCTGCTGATAAATACTGATAAATACATTTCCAAATACTGGACTGTATTCTAATGTTGCCAAGAAAGTGGCAGGAAGTAACACAGATGCGCCAGGAGTGATGGGGGGATCTGACTGCCCCTAGTGGGGTGCTGGCCCATCAGGTAGAACTCCTGGTCACCCAAGTGCAGGAGAGCCAGGGGAGCAGGTGCTATTCTGAGTGTCTGCTCCTAGAGAGGAAGGCTGATGGAAAGGGAGGCCCTGCTCCCCTTCTTCTCCCAGGACCCTTGAAAGCTTAGTCTCCCTTAGCCACTTCAGAGTCAACAAGAACTGGGTCCTCCAGCTCATCCACCAGCTCCACTCTCGCTCTCCTCCCAGGACCCGCCTCCCTGCAGACTCCCCCAGGCAAGTTCCCATTTCCTTGCCTGGCTTTGGGCAACACAAGGGCTTCCGCTGGTATAGATGATGGTGACAACTTACCCAGCACACAGCTTCACCTAACTGTGTCTCTTCTACATTTCCTTTAACCTTGTCCTATAAGATAGATCTGGTTTGTGGTTCATTTTATTTTTTTTTTGCAATTACCAGGGCTCTTACCACTGAGTTATACCTCGAGCCCAAGGCAAACAGGATTATTCACCCATTTTTATAAGAAAACTGTCCTGAGGGGCTAGAGTGATAGCACAGTGGGTAGACTGTTTGCCTTGCACACAGCCATATGGGTTCGATTCCCAGCATCCCATATGGTGCCCCGAGCACCGCCAGGAGTAATTCCTGAGTGCATAAACCAGGAGTAACCCCTGTGCATCGCCAGGTGTGACCCAAAAATAAAAACAAACAAACAAAAAAAGAAAACTGTCTTGAAAGGTGGTGTCAGGCCATAGAGGTGGGAGGCGGCAGAACCCCGTTGCTCCTCCACTCTCCCTCCATTGACCCAATTCCCCAAGTGTTGGAGGGGGGCCTTGGACGGCTCTGGATCCAGGGTCCAGAAAAGTGGAGGTAGGGACGTTCTCCCTAGCTGGTGGTAGTGAGGGGTACATGGAGAACCTCCTGCTCTGCTCTTTGTGTCCCCTCCCCCCTGCAGCTACCCCCACTCACTTGAGAGAGAGGGAGAAGTCATTCTTGCTGGTCTCACTGTTGCGCACCAGGTAGCTGGCCTCTTTGCACAGCCGGAGCAGGTTCTCGGCATCTGTTCGACTGATGGCCCCATGGTACCAGCTGGGGACGAGAGAAAGAAAGGCGCATCTCTGCTGGGGCCCCTGTGAGCCAAGCCCACCCATGGCGGGTGTCGCCTGCAAGCAGGAGGGGAGGGAAGGAGAGAGAACAGAGTCCCCAGCTGGACACAGACACTCACACCTGGTTTTCCAAAGGTAGTGCTGGGTCTGTCCACTCCCCCAGGGGACTGCTAGGCTCCAGGCTTAGGGGCTTGGCAGACTTGGGGTTCCCTGCAGAGAGCCGGGGAGGTAGCCGCCCCTTCTCTTCGCGGCCAGGTGACAGGCAGTTCTTCTCCGATCCTTCGAATTGGGCTGTGGGGAAAACACCAGTCACAGGTATGCAGGATGCCAGACAGCCCCACTGACAGCCCCAGGCCTGCCCGCATCTCCCTCCCCATGGTATCTAAGGAAAGGTCCAGGTCAGGACCTGCTCATGGGCCTGAGGGGCCACAGGACAGAGTCCCAGCTAGGATTCACTTAAGCGTCTCTCTGCAGGAGGAGAGGGGAGAGGTGCGACCTGGCAGAACTTGGGCTTCTCCCTCTGGAGCAGCTGCTGCCTTCCCGGTTCCACTCGGTGGCTGCAGCGTTGATAATATTGTTTCTTTCTCCTCCTCAGAGTTCATTACCGTTCTCCAAATCACCCTGCCAAGCCATTCTGTAGAAATGACTTATCGATTGGAGCACAATTATCTGATTCCCCTTGGTGCCATCCTGACAGGCTAATCCTGCCCCACTACCGCCCCCAAGGTCGCTGCCCGCAGGCTCCCCTCCCCCCACCCCCTCCATGGAGGCTCACACTCGCCCTCTGGCTGCCCTTCTGGGGAGAGGGAATCTGGATGCTGTGCTTGGGAGCTTCCTCCCCTGGGGGTTCCTCTGCTGGGTAGTACTTTCCAACCCTTATCATCTTTCAGTCCCCAGATGTGCGGATCAGAGCTTTCTCTTTACTGGAAGGAGCCCACACTTCAGTGCAAGCAGCCCCCACCCCTTACTTAAAGGCAAAAGATATGGTGATATGGTTGGGCAAAGCCCAGGCCCAGACTTCACTAGCAAGGATCTGTGGGGTGAGGTGGGTGAGGCACATGGAAGGGGCCTTCCTGAGCATTCACCTCCCTCAGACTCTGAGCAGGGAGGAATCCGCCTCTGTCTCCCCCCACCACTTCCTCCAGGATGAGAGGTTCCGCCACTGGAAATGGTCCTCCAAACCCAGCCGCACCCCTGGGCTCCTCCACTCCAAGCCCAGGGGGCCTGAGCGCAAGAGGCCAGCAGCCCCCACAGGACCCACCGCTGCCGTCCTCCAGGCTGGGCTCGGGGAGGGGCGAGGCTGGACCGGAGATGTCCCTGTCCCCGTCGGGCAGGGAGGGGCTGCTGTCCAGCTGTCCCACGGGTGGAGGCCAAGGTAGGTCTTTGATGACCTTAATGTCAACTGGAGCCAGTAGCAGAAAGGAGGAGAGAGACAGGGACAGAGACAGAGAAGAGAGAGGCAGAGGTTGAGACACCAATCCAAAGCCAGGACACAGGAGCGCCTAGAAAGGAGGGTCAGAGCAGAGGCGGGGAAGAGGCTCTCAGAGGGCTGAGCAGGGTCCCACTGCCTGCCCACCAGACCAGCTTGGTCACAGGGTGGAAGGATACAGGGCTGGCTGGCCTGCCCAGCAGGGCGCCTTCATCTGACCTTTCACAGGGAACAGGGAAAGGGAGAGCAAGAGGGACAGGACTGCCCACAAGCCCAGCACCACACCCAGGCTCCAGCAGCCTCCTCAGCCTCCTGGCCTGAAGGAAGCTGGGAACTCCTGTGGGAAAGGTAAGGGTGAGACAGACGGGCTGGCTGCTGGGAAGGTGCTCACGCGGGCAGGTGGCATTTTATTGAAATCCAGCCCCTCACCACCAACCCCAACACCCTCAATCCTCAGCCCTGACAATTAGGAGAGTGAAGCCACTGACGCGGCCAGGCTGCTAACGAGGTTTCCTAATGACGAGCATAGATTTTCCCATTAAGCAATCCAAACAGTATTGATTCTCCGAGGAGACTTCTGTAGATAAACGGTCCAGCCTCGCCGGTGCTCCCTTTACAGGAAGCAAATGGGAGACTTACAGTCGTCCAGGCAGGTGGCCTGCCGCTGGGGAGGAGAGAGTGGAGGGCTCGGGGGCTGCTGAGGGCGAGCCCCTTGCTGGAGAAAGGAAGGGGGCACTAGTGGGAAGGAGGTCTAAGGGAAGTCAGGTCCCTCCATGCTCCCCCGGAATCAAGGGGTCAGCAGGACAAGCCAGCTCCCCACTGCAGGCCCCTGTTGCCCCTGCTCCAGCCATCAGCAGCACCTTCCCACACTGGCCTCGGGCCTGGGCTGGACACCGAGTGCCGCCTGGCACCTGAGGAACCTCACTCTGCATAGGGCAAGTCTCACAGCCTCTCTCTTACCACTGGGTACTGCCCCTCTGAAATCCCATGGGGTAGAGCGCCCTGTCTGGGTGGCATGGCCCTCTCCTTCACAGCCCTCTCCTTCATGGCGGTATCTCTCAGGGCTGTATCTCACACTGGCTGTCAGTGTCAACAGCTTTTAATGTCTCCTTTTGTCAAGAAAAATGACTTAACATAGTATGTTGCAAGTTATATAATTTTGTTTGGAATTTATTTTTGGTTTTGTGGGGCCACACCTGGCTGTGCTTGAGGTTGACTCCTGGCTCTGTACACTGGAATCACTCTTGGTGGGTGTCAGGGGACCACATGGGATGCCAGGGAGTGAACCCAGGTCATTCTGTCTCTAGGCCCTGGCATGTCTTTATCTTTAAATACACCTTTCATGGACTGTCACTTTCATGGACTGTCCCAGCAGACAGAAGGAGCACCAGCCTCTGGGTCTCTGAGGGGTGATACACATAACACCCTCCTCCTATATTCTCTGCCAGTTCCTTGCCCAGCACTCAGCACTCCTTCATCCAGTTCATGGTTTCCACGTGCACTTCCTGCCATGCTGTTCTGAGCCCAGATGCAAGTACCAATCCCCTTTCCATTTTTCTAACTCAAGAACCTTCCATAGGCCTCTGCAAACCCCTCCCCTCCAGCCAAGCTCACCTGCAAAGGCTTTGGAAATCCTCTCCTTCTTCCACTCCCAGGGCTGGTCATACTCCTCGGGGGGCCTCTCATCATCCTCAGGCAGGCGGGATTCCCGGGGCCAGGGGGCTCCCTCACCCTCTGGAGTGGCTCCCTCCTCCTCTGGTTCATAAGGTGTGTCATACAGTGGCAGGGGCTGAGCTGCCACCGCGTCCTTGGAGCCCCGGATCTCTGCCAGCACAAGACAGGAGGGGTGACATGAGTGGGGCCATGGATGCCTGCTCTGACTGACATCTTGGACAAGATTCTCAGCCCAGCTCCTACACAAGGTACGAGTGGTCGGGGGTTGAACACCCTCAAGACATCTCTGGGATTGCAAACGGATGTGACCCAATGGAAGCAGAGCAGAGAGGCAGCCTGATAGAAGAGAAAAAATGCTGTGACCAGCAAAGGCTGAAACCTGAGGCTCGTGTCCATGCCCGCCTCACTCCTCATCTTCATCAATTTCCTTAGTCCTATCACTGTACAGCTGGGAAAACCTTTCCTGATGCTCAGATACTGACAGCCTCAAATCCTTGAAGCTGTCCCCTTCAACAAGTCACTTTCATGGACTGTCCTCTCTGACCAACCTGCTGGGCCTCTCCCTGGATTTTCTCTGAGTCTCTGCTCCTAAGGAGTCTTGCTCAGCCCTCACTCCTTGGACCATGTGCCCCATCTCCGGCATCCTTTGATGTGTTTCCAATGGCTATAACCAGTTTCCCCTTATTTAGATGTCTCAAGCTCACCTTTTTCCACAGAAGTTCTATCTAGTCTGTTCTGTGATTATCTTTTGATGCTAGCTGAACCCTGTGAAAAACTGGTGAGAATTTGGGAGCGACTTGGCAGGAAAATGCACCATGTGCACATACAATTCAAGGGCCTGCATGGGTTTTCCTAGGAGCTACCTTCTCACTTATTCCATTCTTGTCTCTGGACTGCTTTCTCTGCTGCTGGACCTCTTTCATACCAATCCCTACAGCTTTCTGGGCACTAGGTTCCTCAGAATTATACTCTTGACCACTGTTGGCCCCTCACAGCTTGTCTGAGCAACCAGTGGAGGGTCTCCTTAGACCTTTCTTGCAGAGAGAACATCATGGTTCTTTTTTGTTTGTTTGTTTGTTTTTTGGGTCACACCCAGCCATGCACAGGGATTACTCCTAGCTCATGCACTCATGAATTTTCCTGGTGGTGCTCGGGGACCACATGGGATGCTGGGAATCGGGTCGGCCGTGTGCAAGCAAACGCCCTACCCGCTGTGCTGTCGCTCCAGCCCCAACATCATGGTTCTTTCACCTAATTCTCCCTCCTAAATCTGGAATCCTAGAGCTGTCCCGCATCTCCAGAGTCTGAGTGGACAGTCTATTCTGTGTATTAAGAAACCCATTGTGGTAACAAGGGGAAGTAATGTTCTCTAATCAGCTTTTATCAGTTAGTAATGAAGATGACATTATCTCTATTTTTCAGTTTCCTTAATCTTAGTTCTTAATTATTTCCGAGTTCAGGAGGGAAAGAAAAGGACATTAATTGTTGGTCTCTTATAGCAGCTGATTTCCACAACAGCCAACTATATCCTTCTCATGCCCAGTTCTTACGGTCTGTTCTACACACCAAAGCCTCAGTAATCCTCTTACAATGTGACATGCATCCTGGCCCCTTGTTGCTCAAGAATCCATAATGGCATCCCTCCCCTTTGGAGCAGGTCCAAATGTCTTGGTCCAGCCCTTCAGTCCCTCTTACACCCGCTTCCCTGCAGCCCCAACACTCTCATTATTTGCCCCTGAACAAACTCTCCTCTTATTCTGTCCTGGAGCCTGGGCCTATCCTCCTCTCCCCATCCTCCTCTCTGATCACCCTTTTCATCTTTTTTCCTGGCTCCTCTCAGCTTCTTTCTCCTGGGCCAGGTCTTATTCGTGTCTGCCTGCCCTCACTTTCAGGGTCACATCTCTGCCTCCTGTGCACTATGTCTGTGTTTCTACTTACATGTTTCTAATCATCAGGAAGATGTTTCTCATTGCCATCACATCACATCAAACTCGCCACCACCACCCCTGAGCTAGTGGTTCTCCTGTTGGGTTCCCTGACCCCACACTGGCAGCCCAACCCTTATTCTGCCCTCTCAGACAAGTCCCAGTTATTGCTCTCCCTCTGGGCTGGAGCGATAGCACAGCGGGTAGGGCGTCTGCCTTGCACGCAGCCAACATGGCCGACCCGAGTTCGATTCTTCCGCCCCTCTCGGAGAGCCCGGCAAGCTACCGAGAGTATTCGATATGCCAGACACAGTAACAACAAAGTCTCCAATGGAGACGTTACTGGGCCCGCTCGAGCAAATCGATGATCAACGGGAGGGCCTTTACTTACTTACTTACTTTACTCTGACAACTAACTCTGAGGCTGGCTCTATGCGTCAGGGCACAGGTGCCACCAGTCAGAGCTCGACTCCAAGAGGACCGACCCTCTTGCAGGTGGCGGTCAGGGAGCTGCGAAAGTTTTCTCGACAGTCTCGGAGGACTTAGCCCTTGCTGTTGTGGATCCCAGAATTTATCTACAGAATCTATTCTGTAGACATTCAGGCACCGGAGAGCACCTCCTCAAGCCCCCTCCTTTCAGCGCCTCCTCTCTCCCCCCCCTCACCCCCTGTCAGCCATTGCTTACCAGCCATCATCTTTTGGGCCTCATAAGGCTCCATGTAGCCATCATTTTCAGGGACCTTCTCTGAGGCTCCTGCAGCTCCTGCCGGGCTCTCACCCGTTTCCTGGATATCAAATGGATCTGCATAGTCTTCGAGGATAGCCAACTGCAGGATGAGAGTGAGAGTGGGCCTAGCTGTCTGAGGGGCAGCCCTGCTCACACCCCCTTAGAGCCCCCCTCCCCAAAGACTTTGCATGTGGGAGCCAGAGTCTGGGGCAATTTGGATGGGGACACAATGGGGATACTCTGGCTCCTCCTTTGCAGGGGTCCCCCCACTTAGCCAGCCAACAGAGAAGTGTATCTTTTCTGTTAGTCTTGTATCCCTGGGTTGTTCCCTCAGATTAAAGGCCTTTAGGTCCATTGCAGCTGGGGCCCAGGTAGGGCCAGAGCTACACCAGGAGCCTATTCCAGTGAATGAGTTCAGGGAGGGGGCAACAATAATGCTGGAATTGTTCCAAGGAACAGCAGAAGCTTGGAGAAATGCTCTATGTGTGACTTCCCAGGTGTTCACTTCCAGATGCTGGATCAAATTTTGCTGTGCACTCAGGGTGTGTGTGTGGGGGGGGGGGTGAGGGGGGTTGTGTGGCTGTCACTGGATGCCACAGCTCGATGGGCTTATCCTCACAGCGTCCACCACATCACACACTATCACCTCTCCCAACATCTCAGAAAATAGGGGTTCTTGGCACTTACAGAACAACATGCCCAAGACCTTTCTGCTTAAGTACAGGAACCAGTGGCTTTTTGCAAAATCATCCTTGCCAACTGGCCACCACAGGACACAGTGGCCATATCAGGAGAGCACAACTTGTCACAGGCAGAGGAAAGCCAGGAGTGAGACTGGCTGCAGCCACCTTGGTTTCTGGAGGGCAGGGCCGGGAAGGCTTCCTCCATCCTCCATGTGCCACCCAGCCCCCCTCTCTCCCCAGCAAGAGGTCATGGCTGCCCCTCTCCCAGGTTCCCAGTCCAGCCAGTGAACCACAAGCCGCACACCCTGCAGAGATCCTCAAGGTGCTGGGGCGGGTGTGGTTGAGGACAATGGAGCCCTTCTCCCTACTGGGCACAGCCTCCTGGGGACGGGCAAGGACAGGCAGAGGTGGAGACAGCCCAGCCCACCAGGGTTGCCACTGACAGGCAGGCGTTGACAGGAGATGTCTCTGGCCTGCAGCGTGGGGAGGGGCTGCTCCTGCTCAGACCCTCCCCAGTCTCCATTCAGGCTTTGCTTCTGACCACATCAGGACAGGGGTTTGGGTGGGGTGGGGGTGGGCAGCTGTGCAGCACTTGACCACCCTGCCTCGGTGGAAATGCAGGACCACCAGCAATTCAGAGATGGAGAAAGAAACCTCCCCACCTCAAACACCACCTCTATATGTTCCTTTGACCCTTGTCTTTCCCCGTTATCACTCCAGGATCTCTGAAGCATGTCCCAGTGGTTTCACCGTGTTATTTTACAATGTTATCTCACGGCGTTCTGGTCTAGACCCTGGCTCCTTTACCTGCCCTGATCTCGGCCTACTTCTGAGAACCAGCCCCCAGCTCCTGCTCCAAAGCTCTCAGTCCCTCAGTCTTTCCAGACCCACAGGATATCCTAGAAAAGGAAATGGTCTCACCAGCTCCCCACCCCTCCACCCCCAGCTCCCCTCAGAGTCGTTCTCCAGACCTCCTGCCTCCAAAAAGCAGAGAAAAGGAAAGGCTCTCCCCTTTTACCTCAAGCCAAACAGTATAGGTATACTCACGGCTCACCCGGGGGTCAATCTGCTCAGGAGAGATTCTGCACCCCGGACCCAGCCTCACAGAGCCACACAATGGCAGCCAATGGCTGTGCTCTCCTCAAACCTGCAATGCCTAAGTCTACAATTAAAGCCAGCAGTGGACAGATTCCACTTTCTCCTTTGTTTTCTCTCCACCTCCCCCGCGCCACCCCCCCCCCCCCCTTTAGGTCTGTGACCTTAAAGTAATGGGTTCTTTCTAGTCTCAAAGGCCTTTTCCTAGCATGGATCAGTTATCTTCCTTCAGAAAGTCCTGGCCAGCTCAGGGGCCTTAGTGCAAGGCTACCACCTCACTGTGCAAATACTCATTTCATTGTCTGACTTGGAGCTTCCTGAGGGCAGAAGCCCTGTTTACTGCTAAATCCCCAGTGCCTCGAGGTGCTGAGTAAATATGTGTTAAGTCAGTTCTCAGGAAGAATGGACAAAGGAAGCACTTTGCCTTGTTGGTTCAACAGAGGAAGCAAGAATCTGGGTGGGGCAGGGGCTCCTCCATGGGAGCCAGTCCCTGGGAACTGCTTCATAAGCAGAAGCACCTGGCCCTAGGACCCTGACCCCCCACTTCCACGGGGCCCCCTACCCTTCCCTTACCACCAGGCATCCTCCCTACGCCCTGGTTGATGCCCAGAGCCACAACCCCTCCCAGGCTGGCGTGGGCCTCCCCAGCGCCAGCGTGCAGGGCCCGTGGGCGCCCAGGTGGCAGCTCAATGGCTCCTCTGTTCCATGGCTGGTTCCACACCCTGCTCCAGGAAGCCCAGCTCTTTGCCCTGGGCCAGGCACCTTGGGGAGACACCCACGGGGCCAGGGAGTCGGGAGAGGCAGAAGAGGTGCTGGCTGGGAAGATAGGCAGTATGGTACCGGCCATGGGCACAGACAACCCCAATCTGAGGTCACGCCTATTTCCCCTCTAGCTTCTGGGTCAGGCGAAGAAGGAAAACTTTTTTGAAGGGTGCAAGTTGTCCCACAGACTCAAAACCTTTCCCACCACCTCTGTTTCCAGGTCCTTTGCCCAGTTCCCTGGTGCTTGCTTCTGGATCCTGCATCCATCCGTAGACCTGGCATACAGTAGGGTTCAAGGTCTCTGCATACACTAGGGACACTCAGAGGGTCTCCAACACTCCAGACTCCTGCTCATCCTTGCTGACCAACCCATATAGGCTGTCTCTTGAGAGAGAGATTAAGGCTCTTGACTAAAAGGCAGAAGGGAGAAACTGGAAGTACCTAAGATAAGGTACCAACCCGTATAAGAGAGAGGTTAAAGGCCCTGACTAAAAGGCAGAAGGGAGAAACTGGAAGGAAAGTACCTAAGATGAGGACTGATTCGAGCTAAAGCCTCTGGTAGTATGAGAACACAGCTAAAGGCAGAAATAGCGCCAAGCTAGGAGGTTTGCAGCTGCTGCTGAGAAGTCCCCTCTGTCCCCATGCCTCCCACCACCCTGCTTCCCCTTTCCCTGCTGCCATCCAGCAGCTTTAGGCACCTGCTCTTGCCCCTGCTCCAGCTGGGAAGTGTTCCTCCCAGAGCACCTGCCGTGCTTTGCCTCTCCTTCCTGCCCTCGCCTCTTCTGGGTAGCCGTCAGGCCACCATCTGCTCCTACCTTGCACCCTGTGGCTGGGCTGGGCTTCAAGTTTCTGACCCAACCCAAGGGTTCTGAGAGTCTGGGGTAAGCAATGAGGCACCCATCACAAGGTTTGGGCTTTGTTAGGTCCCTGGCATCTATCACTGAGTCTTGCCTCCATTTCTTTTAGTTTGATGTGTGGAAGCTTCTGTTTCATTACTTTTAAAATCTGTAGAATGTAGATAGTGCTGGAAAGAGGGCAGAGAAGTAAGAGGCCTAGCCCAGCGGCTTGCTCAGAATCAGTGCTCGATAAATGGGAGCTCTGATGATAATCAGACACAGGCATTTACTAAAGCTCAGAGCTTAGATACTTGTCCAGGGAACCAGCGTGACTCCAGCAGTGATAAAGACTGAGGCCTCAGTTTCCTGACATTCACTGCCTCCCCAAAGATTTTCTGAAAGACTGGGAAATGCAGCATCTTCTCTATTTGATTTAAAGTACACTTCAACGGGTTAAAGGATCCGAAAAAGGGCTGAGGATGTAGCTCAGTATAAAACATATGGCTTGCACACATGAGACCTGGGATTGATCCCCGGCACCATACACACACACACACACACACACGCACACAGGCTTTGAGAATTTCTATAGCAAGCAGCAAGCAAGCAGTTTAATTTTATTTAATCCAGCATTTCTCCAAAATATTTAATCAGAACCCCTTTCCACTGTCAGCTGGGGAAATGGTATCCTATTTACTTTCTCTGAGATCAAACATTTTGTTTGTTTTGTTTCTGGATCACACCCAGTAGTGCTCAGGACTTAATCCTGGCTCGGGTTTAGGGAATTACTTGCAGTGGTCTCATGGGACCATATGGGATGTCGACAACTGAACCTGGGTTGGCTGTATGCAAAGCAAGCTCCCTATCCATTGTACTATAGCTCTGGCCTTTGAGATCAAACTTTCTGCCTCTCCTGCCCTCAACTTGCAGGAATGCCCCTACGGCTCTCTATGCCAGGGAAACACCTTCAGATGAAACAAATGTGGCATTTTCCTTTCTAATAATAAAGAAATACCGCTGGAGCGATAGCACAGTGGGTAGGGCGTTCGCCTTACAAGCGGCCAACATGGCCGACCCGAGTTCGATTCCTCCGCCCCTCTCGGAGAGCCCGGCAAGCTACCAAGAGTATTCGATATGCCAGACACAGTAACAACAAAGTCTCCAATGGAGACATTACTGGGCCCGCTCGAGCAAATCGACGATCAACGGGAGGGCCTCTATCTCTCTATCTATCTCTAATAAAGAAATGCCACACTAGTAGAACTGTCAAACATCAGGCATGAGACCAATGCTACAAACTCCTTTCAGACCCTACTCAGGTGGGCCTGGACCTTTTCCATCTGGATGCCAAGTGCTGGCCTCATGCCTTTGCCCTCAGCAAAGTAGATGGACTGCTCAGCACTCCTCTTCCCCTTCCTTCTCTGAGTGCCTCCTAACCCGCTCATCAGCCAAGGCAAAGTGAGCACCTCTCTTTGAGGAGTTGGGGGGGGCTCCCCTCCAAAGATAACAAAGGTTCCCAGAGCAGGGTGCAAACCACTGTGCAGAGTCACACATGGCCGTGGTGCTCTCCCAGAGACTGGCTGTGAAATGGAACGAGTGTGCAACCACCCTATACTTGAGTCTCCCCCAGGAGAACCTGGGGAGAGAATCATTATTCTCCTCAGGGGCCTGCTGCTTCCACAGGGTACTGGGCCGACAAATGTCTGTCATGATCTTATTACAGACAAAAAAGCTTCCTGGGTCCTCCAGGAGCTCAGAGAGAGGGTGAAGGGAGGGAGGGAGGGAGGCAGGGAGGAGTGTCCAACTAACTGGTAAAGCTGGTGTTTTTAGGGGTGATGAAGCCCCTGGTTGGACCCTAGACTCTGTAGATACTACAGTCTCTCTTCTGCTCTCATCTACTGTCACACTTATTCAGTGGTGAGGGCAACCAGACTGGGCATGCCAAGTGCTAGACCCTCGCCAGGGTTTGCTCAAGCAACCAGCTGCTCCAATCCATGGCCCATGGGTCTCTTGCACCAGCTCTCAATGGGAAGAAACCCAGAGTTGAGGAGTCCTGAGTCATTGGCCAGGACAATGAGACTCAAGTGCCTTCCCCAGGGAGAAGTGCCACTGTAGGATGAAGCAGCACTGGGCAGAAAGACTGGCTGCCTGCCAATCCCACAGGTGCCAGAGGTCTCAGTCATCTGCGAGAGCAATACAGGCCACAGAGGATTGGGAGGATGGGGCTCCCCTGACCTGGCCCTTCTCTCTCCCTCCTCTCCCCAGGAACCTTCCTCCCCTCTACCTCCTCCAGAGAACACCTGCCAGACAGACAGATCTGATCTCTGTGGGAGTCCTAAGAGGAAAGGGAAGTAAAGCAAACTCAAAACAGGCGAGGATCAACCTCCAGGCAGTGAGCACCTGGAGTTCTCAGCACGCAGCGCTGCACACATTCTCAGCACCACAATTGGGTGCACACATGCTCAGCAGAGCTCACACTCCCAGTGGTACACACATCCTCAGAGGTACACAGACGCTCAGAAGCATGGACACAGAGGTAGGTATACACATTCAGTAAACATCCGCTGAGGGAGGGGCCTGCAGCAATGACCCCTTCCCACCTCTTATCCCCAGATGGACACATCTTGTTCACCTGCAGATGCCTGGATGTCCCTGTCCTTTTTCTTTTCCTCCCTGTTCATTCATTTCTAAATTTGGTCCCGAAGGATCCAGTGCAAGTGGATACCATCTGTGAGGTCTATTCTATCTATATGTTTTTTCAAAATTTCTTAATCTTGGGGGGGTCCTGTGAGGCTCCATGAGAATCTGAGAGCTATAAGCTTTTGCAGATATTCCAAGAATATCTGCAGGTTCATGAGCCCCAACCCCCTTTTATGAGCTAAGAAGAGCCCTTGTGTCAGTTCATGTGGGGTGCCTGGTCTTATTATTTGAGGCGTCCCCTTGGCCTGTCTCTCTCTCTCTCTCTCTCTCTCCACACACACACACACACACACACACACACACACACACACACACACACGCCTATTTTGTCCTAGAGGCCAAGCCACACTGCAGACGGCCACAAGCAGTTCAGAGCTTCCTCCAGCCAAGCCATTCTTCTCATTTCATCTGCTTCTCCTCAGAAGACTGTTTTCCCTCTTGAAGGGCTGAGAAAAGGGAACGAAGCAAGGCTCATCAGCCCCCTGCCTATGTGCGTTACGGTGGCCAGACGGGGCATGGGGCCATGCAGGGGCGCTTCCTGCAGCCAGATGGCCAGGTCTGCCTGTCGCCCAGGGCAGGGTGCGGCTCCTGCTGCTCCCACACCTGCCTTGCCAGGCCTGCCCAGATGGCCACCATGGCACCCCTGCCAACTGCAGCAGTGGGTCTCAGGGTGGACCAGTCGCCAGAGCCCCACACAGGGGGAAAACCAATGGCCCAGAGCCTCTAGCTCCTCAGTGCCAATCTTGGTCCTCCTGTCCTGCCTGCCCCCACACACTGGGCTCGCTTCCCCTCCACCCCTCTGGCTCATCATAGAAGCATTTCTACCCATTTCATCAAACATTGTGCCCCAGCCCCTCTCCCAGGCTGCTCCTGGCACTTGCTACTGTGCCAGGAGCTACACACGGGTTCTGTGCAGCTGCCTAGTCCCCAGTTCGTTTGAGAAAGTGACCCCAAGGCAACAAGCCAAGAGGAGCTCAGGTTGAGGAGATGAGAACAGGGAGAGACAGCCATACAGCCATACAGAATCGAGGGTGCAGCAGAGCCTCCTGGGGGCTGGGGCCGAGGCTGGAACACCTTCCAAGGGCCGGAGTAGTGTTAGGTCTGGAGGCTCATACCCAGGAGGCCTTAGCAGGGGCTCAGGGGAATGGACCCAGGTGGCTAGTTGGGCTCTTCCTAGGGTAAGGCTCTGGAATCCCATAAACTCTGCTCCTCGGAATGCTGGGTGGCCCATGGAAGGCCACAGAACAGCCCCCTGTCCTGGACCCGTTTGGAATGTACCCAAGGTCCTTGTCTTTACCTCCTCTGAAAGAACTGCCTGCATGGCCCCTCAGAGAGCCTGCTGGGTTCCATGCCTGCACCCACAGCTGACAAAGGAGTGAGACACCTCTCTGGCCCTTAGGTCTGAAACAGATCACAAGCCCACCCAGAGGCAGCAGGGGGAGGCCCTTGGAGAGAAGAGGCTGTGAGTCTCCAAGGCTGTGTGGGCACAGCCCATTTCTTGGAAGTCTCTGGAGGTAAATGAGCAAGGGAATCTATGGTTAGGGGAGTCCATAACCCTCATCCTGTGAAAGCAGTTTTCATGCAGGACGTATTCAGGCATCCCTCTTTAGGCCAAGCATCATTATCAGGCACTTGAGGGAAATGGACAAGAGGAGGTCCAGGCCTTGTCCTGAAAAAAGAAAAAAACCCTTGCTCAGTGGGCAGCTGCTGAGGCCCTGCTAAGACACTCGCAAAAGGTGAGGGTAGGGTGAGGGTCGGTGCAGAGGACAGTCAGTGGTCCACAGTGAGAACAAGCCCTGTCCTCCTGGAAGTGGGTAAGGAGGAAGAAGAGAGTCAAAGAACATGTGAAGCCAAAGCACAGGCTCCAACGGGAGCTCCCGCAAACCTCTGCATGCTAAGGATCCTGGCCTGGGATGGGCAACCATGCCCATGGCAGGAGCTCAGGGGAAAAAAATAATTCACATTCCTGAGGCTTCTGCTCTGACCCTGTCACATTTCTTATCCAGGAAATCAGGCAGAACCATACTTTCTCCTCTGCCAGCCTCAACCCTGAAGCCAACAGATTAAGAAGCCACTACCAGCTCTCCAATGGAACAAATCTGCATTCTCTGCCAAGCAGAGGGAGCAAGCCCCCAGCTCCGTGCTCCTAGGAGACAGTGAGGGGGCGAGTGGAGCTGCCGAGGTCCACATGTCCACATCAGAGAATTGGGTGCATCGGGAACCTGGGGGTCCTGCTGCCAGGCAGGGAAAAGGCTAAACTGGGGTTGGAGCAGGGCGGCTTCTCCCCTGAAGCCCAGTACATGTCTTGGGGAATCCAGGATGCCCACCTCTCCCTTCTCCCAGGGTGCCCCCAAATGCCCTAGCTGCCCCACACTGCAGTAGGGGAAGGGGAGGCCAAAAGGAGAGGAGGACTGGGCCCAGTGCCTCGGCACCTCCTGGGCAACAGGTCTCAGTCAGTGCAGACGGAACCCTCCCACCCCCCCACCTCAGGGGCAGCGACCTTGGCCGAGCGCTGCCTGTTCTGGTTTCCGGAGAACAACAGTACGGCCACCCCCAGTCACCGGAGGAGGCAACGGCCAGCTCTGGCTGCGCCCACCGGGTGGAAGCCCAGCAGTCACCTTCTTGGGGTGGCTGGGTGGGCTTCAACACCTGCAAGGATGCCGTATTCCGGGAGGAGGAGGAGCCTAGCTTTGTGCTCGCAGGGCTGGGAGGGAGGGGTCAGAGATCAAAGGGCAGCGAGCGGCTGCTCCCAGAGGGCAGAGAGGCTATAAAGCAGCAGGGGAGGGAGCGCCTCCAATCCCGTTAGAAAAAGGCTCGCCCATTAGCCTGGGGTGTGTGTTGGGGGAGGAGGGGAAGGGGGGCAGGGGCGGGGGGGGGGGTATCCTGGAAGAGGAGCGCTGAGTCCAGGAAGGGCAGGATCACCAGTCCCGGGGCGATAACAGGGAATAGAAAGCTGAGTTTGGGGGGCACGTCTGAGATCGGTCGGTGGAGAATCTGAACAAAGGTGGATGGAGGCTCCGGAGTCCCGGGGTCAGGGACTAAGATCTTGTCTGCCAAGAACCTGACACCGAAAGGCCAGGCCCCAGTCAGGCCACCTTTGTCCCTCTCTAAGCCCCAGACCTCCGGCCACCTTCTGCAGGCCGTCCCCGCCCGTCGTCGCACTCACCCTGTCGCTGCTGGCAGGGGGCCCAGAGATTCGCTCCTCGGGAGGGGGCGCTGGGGGTCCAGGGGTCTCAACCCGAATAAGGCGATGGGGGGGCGAACCGTGGCGCGGGGGCGGCGTAGGGCCGGGAACGGTGGGGGTGGCCAGGGCAGCGGTGCCGGACGGCCCCCCGGAGTACGGGTCTTCAAAGTCGCGCTCTCTCTGCAGCCGGTAGGCGGCCAGGATGTCCGGGGGCGGCGCGGGGGGCGCGGCCGGCGAGGGTGCCGGGGCCCGGTAGTCCGGCTCGGGGGGCGCCGGCTTGCCCCCTCCTCCACCACCGCCCCCCCCGCGGAAGCCCAGGTGCTCCCGGAGCCACTTGGCCACTCCGCCGCTGCCGCCCCCTCCTGGGCCGGCCCCCGCGCCCCGGCGCGATCCCCCCGGGCCGCCCCCCGCGCTCCCCTGCGCCCGCGGCGCGGGGCCGGAGCCCGCGGGAGGTGCTCCGCTCAGTAACATGGGGCGAGCCGGACTGAGCGCGCCGAGCGGAGGGCGCGCGGGGGGCGGGCGGCGGAGGGGCGGGGCTCCGCCGGGCGGCGGGCGGGGCGGGGCCCGGCAGCAACAAGGGGGGGGCGGGGCTCCGCGCCCAACGGGGTCCACCGCCCCCGGCGCGGGCTGCCAGCCAGTGTGCAAGAAAGAGAAGTGAGGTGGGCGTCCCCTGGGCATGCACCCCCGGGGACGCCACTCCCGGAATGAGGGTACATTTCCCTCTGCAGCTCCACGCCGAGCCCCGGTGGGGGCTTACCTGTCCCCCATCTGTTCCCCACTCCTGTGATGCCTAGAGAAGTACCCTCCTTCTCCAAGCACTCTACTCCTGCTCGTCCCATCTCTGCCCCGGACTCCCCTTGACCACCCCCCCCAGCCCCACCCTTTCTGGGTCTTAAGTAGGAAAGAATACAAGGAGGAACAGCCTGGGGAGCCAGAGAAGGGGCTGTTCCCTAAGGTGTGTCTGAATCCCCCTGCGCGAGGGTGGGGAGTGGGGTGAGGTGCGGGGGGGGGGGGGTACCCTGAAAGCGCCACCTCCCTTCTCATTTGCTCTCATCGCACAGACCCAAACGCTGGTTGCTTTTGGTCCAGCAGATGTCATCACAAACGATTCATTTCTTAAAGATAACGACTTTGCCAGTGGTCTTTCCTCCCTCCCTCCCTCCCTCCCCCGCACCCACCCCACCTCTCCTCAGAAGCCAACCTCACACAGAGCTTCCCTCTCTCCCTGAGTGCACAGAGCCCTGGAGCAGGCCCACTGCCCCCAAGCAAGCGCGCACCCACACGCAAATCCCTTCCCGTCACATCCCGGGTTTCATTGTCAATCAGATTAGTGACAGAATAGAAAGAGACAAGTCAATAAATCAAGTCTGGAAGCAGTCCCAGTGTTGTCTATCACAAACCCCTTATTCTCCTGAGGCGGGATACTCAAGCTATAGGCATTTTTAAAATAAAGTCAATCTCCCCCTCCTCCCCAAAGATGTCATAGTCTTGAAAATGCCACAATATTTGCTTTTAAGTCAGCTGATAAGGTAGTGCCTTCATCTCACCATCCTCTTCCCGGGCCTCTGTGTTTACTCTCTCATAACTGTTTTGTGAGGGAGCAAAAAAGCCACTTGAGGATCCAAAGGGAAGAGACCTCAAAGCCGCAGGAGCAGAGAAGGGTATGATGAAATAACTCTGACCCCCCTAGATCAGTAGGACCTCCATATCTAAAAATGTTTGCTGAGTTCTGCTTTTTGCATGTCCCAGCCAGTGTTCTACTGCTGTGCTTCTCAAACTTGAATGTGAACACAAATCACCTGGGGAAACTGCATCATCTTTGTACATCAGTCACCAGCTCAATTGCAGTTGCTGTCAGTCTAGGTCGGGTGGGGTCCTAAGTAGTTATTGGAATAGGATCTGAAGTGATACAGTTGCTGCCTGACACCCACCTCCACTGAATATTTTGAGTAGGGAAGCAATGGGGATACCCATAAACACTAAGTTCACAAACTCTTGCAGCAAAAATAACATGGGCACATTTTTTAAAAGTGTGGTTTAAAACTTGACTAATGATGTGAAACTGGACATAAAGATAATACCAGAAGAAAGGTCCAGTTAATCCACATTGTACGGTGTCTGAAATCTCAGAAGTCTGCCTCATGGTGTTCAAAGTTGTGGGATCCAGTCAAATCTCTGTATAGAGCACCAAAACCCAAAGTAAATAAAGGCAGAACAAAAGTCTCAATTAAATTCCTGGGTGAGACACAAAACACAATACCACTGATAACTGCAAAGGGCATGATAATTGTAAGAATGAGGCAAAGGGCCAGGGAGTCTAACTTTGTTAGATGACCTACCTCACGTGGTTCTCAATTGGGGCATTTGGCAAAAAAGATAAAGAACTGGGAAGATGGAGAATATGAACAGACTCTGGACATTTTAAAAGACCTTATTAATAGGTGTCAAATAAAGCCACATATGTTTATGTGGAAGTTTGGAGTTAAGCTGCTGATGACTCAAAGGAAAGGAATCAACCAAGTCTGCACAAAAGATGGCAGGCTTCATGGAGGAGGCAAACATGATCAAGGCAGGAACTGAACAGATGAGAGTGTAAAGTCATTCTAAGCTGGGAGGCAGCATGAACTGAGTGAAGAAGACACTGAGGTGAGAACCAGCATGCCATATAAAAGGGAATGATTAATGGAAGAAAGGAAGTAAAGTTAGATGAAATGGGGAGAGGATAATATAAGATTTGAAAGGATCATTAGGGTCCAAAATAGTACAGCAAGTAGGGAGCTTTCCTTACACTTGGCCTACCTGGGTTCAATACCTAGTACCACGTATGGTCCCCCAGAGTTCACCAGTAGTGATCCCTGAGGGCAGTGTCAAGAGTAAACCCTGAGCACTCCTGGATATAGCCCCCAAACAAAACACACATAAAAGAAGGATCGCTTAAAAAAGGTGCAGGATGCACTTACTCTAGTTTTATATGGTATGTTAATGTAGTTTTCTCCTCACCAGTGTGAAAGCTGTTGGAAGCAGGTACCTCATGGAGGCCAACACTGTCTAGGAATCAGGCACACAGCTGATACCGAAAGGCTATTAGGAGACTTGGGTTGGAGACATAGGTGCAGTCTTGCATGTTAAATATTGTTGGGCATGAAACAGTAGGATCAGGATTCTTAAGGGGAGCATTGTGTTCCCATCACCTAGTGCACAGCCTGTCATGTGGCAAGACCTCGCAAGTGTTCAAATGAATAAAGATCATCTCTCGTTACTATTTTTACATAGCTATAATTGCAGTAGGCACAATTTTGTTATTTTTTTCATAGGGCATTGTATAATTGCCCCCATTTTTTATTGTGAAAGCTTTGTTTTCCTTTAGCTTTTTTTTTGCTGTTGTTTTATTTTTTAATTCAAACCTAGAGAGTGCTAAAAGTACAAAGGAACTCTACACACTTCACTTAAAATTTTGCCATACTTTCTTCCTTTCTTTTTTCTTAATGATTTGATGCAAGTTTCAAATATCATGACACTTCAGTTCTAAATACCTTAGCAATCATTTCCTAAGATTTCCTAAAAATTTCTTCTATAGGGCCATAAGATCATTATCACACAACGGAAAGGAAACACACACACACACACACACACACACACACACACTATAATAGCATTGTATTCTGCACATTTTTCTCAATCTGTACCCCCCAAGTCATGTATCAGTGCATGTACATGGAAACCTATACAGTCCTATTTAAGATTTACTCTGTTCCCCACTGCATTTGCTGTTTTACTTGTTGCTTTTCTTTTCTCTTTTCCTTCCTTCCTTCCTTCCTTCCTTCCTTCCTTCCTTCCTTCCTTCCTTCCTTCCTTCCTTCCTTTCTTCCTTCCTCCCTTCTTGTTGAGCCACTCCTGGTGCATGCTCAGGACTTCTGACTCCGTTTTTGGGGATCAGTCCTGGCAGACTTTGGGGACCATATGACGTGACGGGGATTGATCCCAGGTCAGACATGAGCAAGCCTTACCTGCTGCAGTATCACTCCAGCCCAACTCTTTTTTTACATTTTGGTGGTGGTGAGGGGACAGTGGGTGGTTTGGGCTACACCCCGCAATGCTCAGGATTTACTTTTGACTTTGCATTCAGGATTCACTCCTGGCTGGGCTAACAGGATCATATGGGGTGCTGGGGAACTGAACTCAATTCAGTGTGCAAGACCAATAGCCTGCCTACTGTACTATGGCTATGCACCCCCCCAACTTTATATTTTTTAAATGACTACTATTATCAAATAAAATGGTTTAGTTTAACATTGCCTTATTTGTTGAACATTTAGGATATTTTTTATTCTCCTCTCTTCCATATGATTCTGGGATAAGGTACTAATAACAAATCTTTTTATGTAAAAACTTATGTAAGTTTAGGATTATTTCTTGTCCAATTTTCCAAAAGTGGAATTACTAGAGCCAAGTATGTACATTTCCCCTTAACTTTTATAAACATAGCCCATTTGACTTCATGGAATGTTTTAATACGCAGTGCAATTTATAAGGTCATGCCATGTAAAAATCATGCATATAAGTCATGATTTATAAGTATCAAACCTTATGATTTTCTCTCATCCCTTTATGTCATCCAAAGCACCCTCGTCTACTGTCCTCCTTTGTCCTTGAAACCTTCTTTTGAACTTTGTTTGTGGGGAGCCACACACTGCTGTGCTCAGGGCTTACTTCTGGGTCTGTGCTCAGGATGGCTATGTGCTCAGGACTGCATGCTGGGGGATCATATGCTGGATTTAACCTGGATTGGCTGTGAACAAAGCAAGTGCCTTACCCGCTATAATACCTGAGTTATCTCTCTGTTCCTCAAACTTTTCTTGAAAAAAAATTTTTAAATAATTTTTTAATTTTATAATTTTTAAATTTTTCACAATATTTCATTACATTTAATATTCAAACACTAATTCTACCATCATTACACCTTCCCACCACACTTTAGTTGTTTCCATCCTGAACCCCAATCCCTGCCCCAAAGCAGACCCGAAATAATATATTTTGCAATTGTTATGAAAAACCGCTGAAAATGCTACAAAAAAGTATCCTTGGAGGAAAGAGTGTGGAGATTGTTGTATTTCACCCAGGGGCCATTAAACCCTTCTAACCCTTCTATAAGAGATCACTTACATGTTGTTAAAGGTTGAGTCTTGTGTGATATATATATAAATATATATATTTATTTATTTCCCTCTAAGATTGGCTACCTCCTTCTTTAAACCCTATCAAATGTGGTGCGGTAATCTTGGAGTATGGGTAGGGGTTGTGTGGTTTGAAGTATCATGATGTGTGAATTGTCATCATGGCTGCGTGATCCAGGGATAGATTCACTCGTGGGTGATGCTCTGCCCGATCGTGTGGAGAGCGGCCATGAGCATGAGCATGGCGGCGGCTGGGTTCTGAAGATTTCTGGCTGCCGGGGTTGGGTCCCTTGGGGA